CATCAACAACGTCTTGTTAGTGTTGCTGCAATGGAAGATCTGTACACCGAGATGCATCTGGGAAACGAGGAGTTGCACGAGTAACGGAAGGACCTTGCGTGAATAAGTCAACGACCCCTCCACCTTTCTTTTGGAAGTATCATCAAGATGTTCACTCGGCACCACTTCATTTAGTGTTTACTTTCCAAGCTTGTTTTTATAACAAAAGGTCTCCTATTATCCTTTCCATGTTGGTTAATACAAGTTCAAGTTTATCTTCTATTGCTCAACTTGTTGCCACATATTGCTGTCTACACTTGCATCGTGTGGCAAAGCCAATTTTCATTCTTTATAGCAATGGCAATACACATGCATGTGTATTGGATGAGGTGGACTTAGTTGTGCATATGAGCAATCTTGAATTTAGGTTCCAATCATTACAAATGGTGTTCAGTCAAGCTTTTGACCTCATCCTTGGTATGGATTGGTTGCAACACAATCATGCCAAATGTGACTTTAAAACTTTCTCCCTTTGTCTTATACTTTTTTATATTTCATTCATTCCTCTCACTTCCATACCTCTTCATCCCTTTGCTTTTACCTCTACTTCCATTACTTTTATCTCCCCACTACTTCCTCCTGTATTTCCATTTTGTTCTGTTTTTCTGATCCCTCTGACAATCTTTGTGTTGCAATGGTTGACCGGCTCATGAAGGAGTATGCCAATCTTTTTGAATTTGACCTATTATCTAGGGCCAAGATTGCCACACATCATCTGATTTCAATTGGGGATGCTTGTCCAATCAAAGTTCCTGTTCATCGTTGGTCATCCAAAGAGATCAAAATTTTATGTGCAAATGTTAACGAGATGTTGGAAAAGAATGTTATTTGAAAGTTGTAGAGTCCTTGGGCATGTGAACCTCATCTTGTGACGAAGCCTGATGGGAGTATTTGTTTTTGCATTGATTATCTTCTGTTAAACAAAGTGACGATCCCAGATGTGTACCCTCTTCCTCACACTACTGATCTTTTGGATTGCATAGGGAGAAGTTGTTAGTTCTCCAAGCTAGATCTAGCTTTTGGGTACTAACAAGTACTGATGGCCAAAAAAGATATTCCTAAAATTGCCTTTCATACACCGTTTAGTTTGTACGAGTTCTTGGAGATGCCATTTGGTTTACACAATGCTCCAACAACTTTCTAGTAAATGATGGACGAGGTTCTTTGTAATATGCCAGAGGTGACTGCTGACTTTATTGATGATATGTTGATCCATTCAGAGGGGACGTGGGAGGAATATGTCCGTGATGTTTGTAAAGTGTTGGATCGGCTACAAAATGTTAGTTTAAAGCTGAAGTAGTCGAAGTGCATGTTTGGGTGTAAGGACACGACTTATCTTGGATACTATATTTTTTGTGAAGGTTTGCAAATAGATCTTGACAAACTTGTAACTGTTCTAAAGTTTTTTACTCTAAAGTCTGTGAACGATATGCAACGCTTCCTGAGCAAGGTGCAGTATCTTAGTTTTTTTGTGGATCATTTTTCTGATTGCATTGCACCATTGCGAGTGTTGCTAAAGTCATCAATGTCATCTTTCATTTGGTTTGCGGACTGTGAGCGGGCGTTCATGTATCTCAAAGAGTTATTGACGACTCCTCCAGTTTTGGCATATCCTAACTACATTCGACCTTTCATTTTGTGTATGGATGCTTTTGATATTGGTCTTGGAGGAGTGTTTGTGCAAGAGAGTTCGAGTGTGCTTGGTCAGTGCCATCCCATTATGTATATAAATTGTACATTACAACCAGTGGAGGTAAACTACTTCATGATAAAAAAGGAGTGTTTAGCAACAATCTGGGGTTTTGAGAAACTTCATATATATCTATATGGTTCTTAGACATTGATCATGCTAGCGTTACTTCATTATTAAAGTAAAAGAACTTGGTTGGTCATTTAGCATTTACATTCTCAATATTGCTTTGAAGATAACCTTCTTTATTTTGTGGGGACAAATCCTGATGATCATTTATGGCTGGTGGTGCCTTTCGTCTTTATTACATGGTTTCTCCATGCTTACCATGATTCTCTTATTTTAGGCAGGCATATGGGACATTGTCATGTGACCGAAAAGCTGCACAAGTCTTTCTATTGGCTAGAGATGTGATGTGATGTTATCCAATATGTGTGTAACTGTGTTTGGTGCCCAATTCATAATACTCCCTTTTGTGCTGCAGAAGAATGGTTGGAGTTAATTGCAATTTCCCATCCGTTTGAGTTTGTGGCATTTGATCTTATGGGACCTTTTCCACGGTTGACTATTGGCAATGAATATGTTATTATTGCTTTTAATTATTTGACTTATTGGGTGGAAGTTAGTGCTCTTGCTAGCACCTCTGCAACTGCTATTAGATACTTCCTCCTCAATTAAGTGGTGTTCTAGCATTTTTGTCTAGAGTAGATTCTTTCAGATAATAGTTTTGCATTTATAGTTAAGGGATTTCATGTTTTGATGTCTTGGTTGGGGATAAGCCATACTTTCATGAGTGTTTATTATCCACAGTCAAATGGTTTGGTGGAATGGCTCATTCGGACATTCAAAGGAATGATTGCGAAGTATATAAACTTTTAGCATTTGAATTGGGATAGCTATTTGTTGTTTCTTCAGTATGCATATGTCATAGGGGTGCAGAAATTTTATTAGTGCTTCACTATATAAACTTTTATATAATCATGATCTAATATTACCAACAGAGTTGGATTTACCTTTACAATTGCCACGAACTACTGATGCTAAGTTGTGGGATCAATATTTGACAAGCATTCTTCCACTTGTCCAAGTGAAGTCTGCCAAACACTTAATCCGTATACAAGTGGGACAACAATAGTGCTATAACTCCCATCATCATCCAACTGCAAAGTATAAAATGTATAATTTAGTGTTAGTCTGTTTTCCCTATCTTACGGCATGTGGTTTATCTAAGGGGCTCTTTGCTCAGTAGAAAGGACCATATTGGGTGTTGCGGCAAGTTAAACCACAAGTTTATGAGGTTTGGCATGACGTCTAGTAAGCTGATCCTCCAGATATTATGCATATGCAGTGATTGGAACGCTTTGTACAAAGGGATCAAGAACAACTGATACCACTAACAAATCTGCTGATGCCTCCTCCTAACATTCCTCTAGATCTCAGTTCATCTACAAAAGAACCCTAATGGTCTTCCATTATTCCAAAAGAAGAGGATAATATAAAGTCTAAGTGTATGGCTATAATGCTGTATACTAATATTAGTGTAGTGGGATTTTAGTAGCCGTTGGATTAATTTCAATTTGGACCACTTGCTCTTGTATATAAGTTAGGGTTTTTGGGTTAATTGATATGTATATTTTCTATATTCCCTTTCCATATTCCATGCACTCACAATATATAATTAATTTAAATTATAAAGAGTTTTTAGGTGACAATAGAAGTACCAAAATAACTATATTCAATAAATTTTATTATTGCAATCTAGTAAACATATTTTTATTTTGCCAGCTCAACAATATCTTTTAAATTATATACCTTATTGTATCTATTTTATGATTAAACTTAAAACACTCTAGATTTAAACAATTAAAAACTATCATTAAATAGATTTTTCACATGCACTATCTCTCAGACTCAAGAAATGGTAGGTGAGTTGTACATAACACACCCTCTTCAATGCACTACACCAGAGTTTGTCCATACTAAGGTAGAGGAAAGTGGTGTCCTTGGCTGAGCATTGGGCTTCTTACACATGAACAAGGATAAGTTGCTCTGGATGTATCCTATTGTAAGTTGCTTGAAAAGTTTATCAAGCAGGAAATGGATTCAAGAGTGTTGCTATATATGTGTTTGAATGTGCTTTTCCTAATAAAAAATGTTCTTTTAAACCTCCTTTATCAGAAGCCCATGAAATGGTTTTCCATTTTGATAATAAAAAACACATGGTTACAATGATAGCTACCAAGTTTTGGAGAACCCTCTCATCCTCCAATAATGTTATTCCATGTGTCTGTTAACAGTTTAACCACAGCCCATTAAGTCCATTTCCCGGGCATGGGCTCACTTGTCCCCTCCTAAATGTGGTGGCCAGGTTAATGCTTGGCTTGCCTATTTTGGGCGGAAACATACTCACCCTACTAGGGAACTCCTTCTTAACAGGCTGTGGTTCACCCATTAACTTGATTTAGCCATTAGTGGCCATTGGATTGAATCACGAGAACGTGGTTGACAACTGCCAAGTTCTCCAAAACTTAGCTGCTAGCTGCCAAGTGAACCCTCTCATCCTCAAATAATGTTATGCCATGTGTCTATTAACAGTCTTGCCACAACTTGTTAAGGCCGTTCCCTAGGCATGGGCTCGCTTGTTCCCTTCAGAATGCACTTGCCAGGTTTGCCTGTTCTGGGCAGAAATGTGCTTGCCCTACCCGGGAACTCCTTCCCATCTCTAACCACAAAGGCTGATTCCCACATCTATATGATGCTAAAGTGTGCTGCACACACAGACTGGTAGATACATGGATTGCAACCCAGTGGATTTACAGTGGAGAGGTAAATCTCATATTTAACTGCTCCAACTGTTCTGTCTTCAAGCAATTGTGGTGGGTCTTCAAGCAATTTTTGGGGTGCTTGTGCCATCCACCACCTGTTGTCCAGTTTTTGATATCCAGCCACCATCTTCCATTTCGTTCATACATTGGTCTTGGAGAGTTTATTATGTAGAGCCAGTTTGATTCCAGCACCAAAAGACAATTTCACAAATAACAAAGTCCACTATCCAATCAAAAATAATTTTTGCACTATGATTTCCACTTAGAGGTTTACATGATATTTCACTATCGAAAACCTGGACAAAGCACTGTAAACCTTGAGAAAATACGTCATCAGCTCTTCTAAAACTTCAATGGGTTTAATAATTTACTCTTACACATTACTAAGGTAGTTAAGACCACGCATTAGGGCTTTTTGCCCTTTTGAAATTTCTGACGAGCGATCGATGGCGGGCAGGGCGGCCTCGCGGCAGGCCCCCAGCAGCAGGGATTCCTCTCGAGCTGGCTCGATGGTGGACGACGTCGAGGCGGAATACATCCGGGAAGTGATGAAGAGGAGGCGCTCCAGCAAAGAATTGAGAATGCCGGCTACAATGGCGCTGGGCGACTCGGGCGTGCCGGAGTTCCAAGCGCGCCTCCTGGTAAGCTCTCGATTTCGAGCAGATTTTGGATCGATCGATGATCTCTCTCTCTCTCTCTCTCTCTCTCTTTTCTCTTCGCTTTGCTTCGCCCCAGGCTTTGAGGATGGCAGTCAAGGATTACGAGCTGCCAATGCAGCTAGCGTATGATGAGCTCGAGGATCTGGCAGCCAACACTGAGAGGGTGAAGAGCGTGATCGAGAAGAACATGACGCTGCTCACTGTCCAGGTTTACAAAGTTTTTCTCCGTTTGAGCTTTGTAGAAACTTAGAATTCCTGTGTGTTTGTAGATGAGGAAGAGGAACTTTCGCTATTACAAGTCGGCTTTCCTTGCGTGGATTTTCTACGTACAAAGGAAACTCGCGCGGCGAGTTGCCATGAGAAACGCAAGAGACTACGCGCTGAGAAGAAGGCTGGGCCGCGCCTTTGATGCATGGCACATCTGCTGGCTACGCATGCACAAGTTCATGAAACTCCAGTTGTCCGCCCAGAATCTGCTGCGCCGCCACAGCCTCAAACGCATCTGGTAACGAAGGACTTTGCTCTTTGGGTTTTCACGAATAATTCGAGGGAGAGGATTGATCAGCTTCTAAAACCGTGCAGATTGTCCTTACAGGAGAGCGTGGTCGTCACTCGTCAAGAAGAGGCTTCGCGAGGACGAGAAACACTGGTTCGTTCGTTTTCTCGTTCCTTGTCTCTCATTATCTACGTTTTTTAGGAGAGAAAAGCAGCTCGTACGTGATCTAAACGTAAGGCAACGGGGGTGTGTGAGGCAGAGAGCTGTGAATGCAATCAAAAGGCGACGACTGCATCGAGCTTTCTTTGCTTTCAAGGTTTGTGGAGCGTTTGTTGTCATCTTTGGAAGGCTTCATAATTCTGGCTTGTGTAACAGATTGGACTGGAAATTTTGAAAGACACAAGATCTCGACGCAATCACATCTTTTACATCGTTACCAGGAGGAAAGTTGCCGTCGGCTTTAAGCTCTGGGAGAGATATCCAAGAAAGAGGTAAGCCATCTTGAGCGTTCCGGACAATTATAATCCTTTCCTTTGGTTTCCTCCGTTGTAACTTATCAGAGAGCGCGACTTGAGAGTTATCCAGAGAAGACAAAGAAGAGTTGCACAAGATTGCATATGGACGTGGGACGATGAAACTTCGTTCTTGAAATTCCGGAGGAGAAGAATGAGGAGATGCCGTTTAAGCATTGCATTCGAGATGTGGAGGCTGTTCATCTCGCGGAAGATGAAGTACGACACAATCGCAACTAGGATCATCCGCGCACGTCTCAAACGGTACTTCACTGATCTCCGTGAGATTTGCTTGGAGGAGATATGGAAGAGGCGAACCTGTGAGAGAGCAAGGAGGAAATGCACTCACTTGAGAACTAGATGGTTCTTCGAAGCTTGGATCACTTACATGCAGGTAAAGCAACTTCCTTTTTTCTTCCTGGGGACTGAAGTGGGGTGGTTTTCCAGATCCAATTGCAAGAGCGATCGTATCGAATAGAGGAGTATGCTGCTGTTCTTGAGAACGAGAATCAAAAGACAAGGTCCGAGTGTGATCGGCTGGGACGGATCATCGACACGGGAGAATGGGACCAACAGCGAATCGTGGAACTCGAGCAAGCAAGCCTCATTCTGAACGGGGAGAAAGAAGCCTTGCTCAAGCTTGCGGCTCGTTTGGAGGGGGAGCACAAAGAAGCCATGGATTATCAACGACGACAGGAGCAGGCGATCAATACTCTCAAGAATGAAATGCTTGGCTGTGTCAGTTGGTTCTTTCCTTCCTCTCCTTTCCTCACTAACTTAAAAACAATGTTTCTTTCCAGAACTATTTGCGTAAGAACAAGCTATTGGTGAAGGGAGCTTCCAGCTTCAACTCAGTTCTCCGAGCTGTGAAATCTGAGGTACCAGTTTTTTCTTTTCTTCGAGAGAGGTTCCACTGGTACTATATTGTTTGCAAAGGCTATCAAGGAAGGTGTCAATCCCGAGGTTGTGAAATCGATCGACGAGAAATGCATGGACCAGGTAACAAGCCACACAAAAATCGCGTTCTAAGCTTTTGCTTCCTCCAGGTTATAGTATTTCCGGATGGTGACCTGCGAGTAAAGCCTCTGACAAAGTATGACAAGGGAAAGTGGAAACTTAGACCCGAGGCAACAACGAGCATGAACTCTTCAGACGATTCTCTTGATAGCTAACAAAGCTTCTTTTGGTATCAAAAGAATCATTCGAAGAGTTCTTAGCTAACAGGTAAGAACACGACTTGTTACAACAGGCTTTTGGAAGTTCCAAAATAAATAAATAAAAAAGGTCTTTATCAAAAAGTTTTACATTTTATTGATCATTGTAAGATAAATTAACTGTTAGTTATAATTTTAATTATTCTGCATTCTACTCATACTATTCATCATCAATTAATTGAGAATTATACACTTTAATTAATCACTTTATTATGAATTTATATTTTCCCTGTATAATTATTTTTAAAAATGTGCACCAATATATTGCCACTTAGACCCAGAATAAGTTTTTCAAAAAATACTAAGAATAATTATTATTAAAAGTAGGTACTAGATGCAAAAGATTATTTACATCATGAGCCTTTACTTGGAAATATTAATATATATAGATATTATTATATACATCCATATAAAAGATAAAAAAACCTTATAAAATTAATATTATTAATATAGATATTATACTATAAATGCATGGAATACAAATCCAAAACCCTAGTTTATATATAAAAACAAGTGGTTAGCTATCAAAATCTCAATACACTAATAATAATATATACTCTATAGTATCCTTTCCTCTTGGAAAGATGGAAGTCAATTAGAGTTCTTTTCTTGATGGGTTGGGATGATACCCTTTAGTCATTGTACATATATAATTTCTAGAAGATTGGCTTATTGTTGTAATGAACCTTATAAATTTATAGTTCAACTCGCTAAAACATTTGACATGGTCCCTTTCATTAGGTAAAGAGTCACTTAGATAAATTATATATCATAAGATTAAGAAAATGAATGAACACTGAGTTATCCACTTTGTACTTAGTAAGTGGATAATGATGAGAGTTGTTGTTATCCCACATATATACAGGCTATGTGTTTAGTAGACTCCACTCAAACTAGTGAAAGAATATTAAATATTAATCCTGCAATAGCTCGTGGCAATTGTAAAAGTAAATTTAGCAATATAAAATTATGACCATATAAGAGTGTATATGGTGAAACACCAATAAAACTCTATACCCATATAATATATGCATACTAGGATATGGCAACAAACTATTATAATTCAAATGCTTAAAGTTTATTTAGTTTATGATATCCCCTTAAAAGTTTGAATAAGTCATTCCACCACTGTGGATAATAAACACTCGTGAAAGTGTGATATATCTCTAACTAAAACATCAATATATAAAACACCTCAGCTATAAATGTAAGACTATTATTTTTGCAAATTCACTCTAGACAAGAATGCTATAATATCATTGGATTATGGAGGAAGTATCCAATAATAGTTAGATATATTAGCAAAAACACCAACTTCCACTTAATGAGTCAAGTACTCAAAAGCAATAATGACATATTCATTACTAGTAGTTGACAATAAAAAAGGCCTAATTAGATCAAATACTGCCAACTTAAACAAATGGGAAATTACAATTTGATTTAAACTATTCTTTCACAACATGAGGCAAATATTAACAACCAAAGAGAATAATTTTAAAAATGATCTATTAGGGTTTAAATATAAAAGTGAAAAATCCATGAATAAAACTACACTCCCTTTTCTACTCACAAGCCCAAGCGCAAACTCATAAAGATGATATATCTTATTCCATCCTATGAGCCCAAAAGCAAGCTCATAAAAAAATAATTAAAATTTATACCTAATGAATAAATGTAAAGTTATAGCACCCAAATATGTATCCACTCAGATTATCATCTTCATCTCTACATGAGACCAGTTGCCTAATCTCATTAGATAATACTTGCTAAAACTAATTTTCTGATACTAAATGTAGTATATATGGTTTTCACTCTTTATTCTATGGTGGTTTATTATAGAATAACTATAGAGAAAAACCTTAACCTTCCATCACCACATGCCACGTGTCCAAGGGCAGTAGAGTAGAGTTTAAGTGGCCACTAAATGAAAAGACGAAACCAAACTCCTAAGCATAGAGTTTAGGAGCAAAGGAAGTGGAGCACAAAATAATTTTTGAGCATATGGCCTAAAGAGCAAAGGGATAGGACAATAGAGTGATATTGGTTTCCTTACCAAAAACATTTATGAAATCTTTGACTATATTAAAGCTTTAATGATATAAATTAATGCAACCATTAGTTATAGAGTTTATATGATAGTTCCTAGAGAGTAACAATTTGTTCTTAAAGCATCTAGCATCCCAATGTCAAGACTAACATGTAAAACGGAGCCAAATAGAGTTTGATGCAATTTTAGCATATCGGTGGTCTAACGCGAGGATATGAATATTCCATCAATTAGCATAATATAGAACTTAGGCTTAGACCTAAATCAGACGCAAAACAAGGACAAGCACACAAGCAGAAACTAAACTATACCTCAAGTTGGTCAACCATGCCCAACCTACCTACTATCCCTACTATATATTTAGAACCCTCCATAAAGGGCATCATAGCGAAGGTGTTTAGCAAACATAGTAAATTATCATTTGACAATATTGAGTGATTAATCTTAATACTAGAGGATTCTTGTTAAGAAAGTGCAAGACATAGCAAAAAAGAACTAAGAGCCAAGCTAAGTTTTCTCAACAAAAAATATATAGGAGTTTCTACCTTATATTCATTTGGCTAAATACAAATGCTAAGCCTAGTTTATTAACACTTAAACAAGAAGAAATGAAAAAAGAACTAACAATACCAACCTCTTGCTATCATGGCAAGAAGGGAGAATATCTAAAAGGACTCATTAACAAATAACTTTTGATACCTATAGTAACATTCACGACATATGGAGTATGGTGTTGCCTCTTTATCATGTTAGGTATTGCTTGGGGAGTACCACAGCCTAAGTGAGAGTAATAATCTTAGATATGGTGGTCAAGTTAAGAATCTCTATCTTTGTCTTGTTTTTTTGTTCTCATGAGTTTTAAATCTCTTTAAACAATATTGGTTGTTATTGAAGATTTTTTGGCTACTATTAGCTTGGATAATATGAGTTTGAAATCCAAGCTTGCAATAGCCTACAATGCTTTGTCAAAGGTGACATTGTGTGGTTAGGCTAATATGCTTACTTGCCTACGTCACAACCAATGCTTGCTAAATGCAAACTACAATGCACTTGCTTTCCAAGTCAACAAATCTTTAGTGTAAATCTTTGACACTTGTTTCTTATAAATTCTAAGATTTATATCCATCTACAAGCTAGTAAACAACCATCAAAACACAAGGAGCAAAATTTAAAATACATATATTGGGCAACCATTTTAGCTAAGGATTTAATAGTATGTATCAAGACCTTCAAGCTAATTGCAAGTTGTGCTTGGGTGTCACTAAGTCTTACTTCTCAAGCAACCATAGAAATTTAGTATAAGCTCTACATTCCTCATTGTTGTTGCACCACATTACAAACGTACAATTGATTAGCTTGCTAAACAATATTGTACCATTATTCTGAGTTTATCAGTGCCAAAGAAGTGTTGTGAGATCATCATTGTAATATTGTTGGATGTTTTCCTCACCCAAGTTTGCCAAAAAAAAATCTCTCAATATCATAAACAAAGTTCTATTTTTAGACAACAATTTGACCAAGTCTGCATTAAAACATGATAAAATAAGTTAAAGTGAAGTTGAATGTGAAATTTTAGCAAACTTACCTATTGATTTTTTAGTAAGCAAAGATAAATATATTGATATCCAAAAGTCCCCTTGCATAAAGGTAGAATCATTGTAAGAACACTTGTCAATACACTTCATCCAAACCCTATATTGATGATTACTATCAATAAGTTGAAATATTGTCCTCATAAGCTATCAAGTCTCAAGATGATTAATAAATTTGTTATTGAATTTAAGGGGTTTTCTCCTCTAAATAAGATCTTAATTGTTCACCATCTTGGGTGTGATAATCAATATTCATTTTTCCTAGCTTGTAAAAAGAGACTAGAAACATATTATTGTTTGTCGAAAGGCCATTATGTTCGAATAAGTTATATATGTCCAAGTTGACATACTTGAATATCATGCACACAAGGTTTATTTATTATAAATGGCAGAGGGAGATTTACTAAATATCTATTTGAGTAGCTCAAAATTTTATTAATTGCTTTTTCCTTTGTTCTCATAACAATTTTTTGGAAGCAATTGTTCAACACAAATCTGTAATGTAAGCAACTAAAGATAATGACTCGAAATGCAATCTATAATGGTTCAAATATAGAAGAAAAGTGCCATGAACAAGAGTTTTTTCCAATTGGTTAATAGTCTTAAAATACTTAGGGTTAAGCACCCTTGGGTTTAAGTACTATTAAATTGGATAATCTTATGGAAAGTTCAAATTTAGGAGTTTACATGCAACTCTTTTGGCTTTAGGTTATTTGTTAGATTCCCTATTGTGAACACCTATTTAGGATTGCCGAATTTTAGGGTGTTATACTGGTGGTGGAAACAAAGTTGGAAGTGACAATGAAAGAGATGTATCAAGATTTAGTTCTAATGTGTCTTCATTTGACATTGTCAATGTTGCGTCTTAATTTAGTTGCAACAGTGGTGTATCCTAATTTGGTGGTATTGCAAAATGTCATTATTGACATCATCACTGATAATTAGACTTCATGTGCTAAAATCCTAGATCTACATGCATGAACAACATTATAATTGTCACACTTGCACAAGTATTTCTAATTAAAAAGAAACAAATTAAGTATATAAATATTTTAGAGTAATTTAGACAATTTTGGGGGGAGGTATACTCAAAAAGGGCAAAAAGAATATTATACAATATATATAAATTTAAAATAAATATGTATTGAATTGCTTAAAAACATATGTGTAACTCACAAAACACCCCTTTTACTTCAAGACACCCATACACAGAGGCACAGACAATTGCCAAATAAAGCTTGTTCACCCATACTTTGCATATTTGGATAGAATCAATAAAAAAAGATTAGATGACATGGTTGCACACATTGTGGCATGGTACATGTTTTGATTGCTATAATTAGCAACCATGTGTATAATATTTTGTGTGCAATTGAAAACAAAATAAAAAAAGTTGCACATAAGTAAATAAAATATGCATCTGATTGCTATAGTTTAACTATGAATTAAAACTTGATATTAAATTTACTATAATTTTAAAAACCAAAGCAATATCATTTTTTTATTTGTATTTATAAATTTAAATGTTAGTATTAATTTCTTAAAAATAATAAAACTTTGTGTGAAATTCTAAAATAACTGAAAAATAACTAATTAATTATCTGGAAAAGCTTCTATCCTAAAACCATAATAGATGGTTCAAAAGAATATTTTATAAGTAAAAAATGATAAAATATCATATTATATCACAAATTGACATTGAATAATGAATTATAGAATATTAGCTATAGTAACTTTACATTATCAAATAAGCAGAATAAGCAAGACACACTTGCAATTACTAAAATATTAAATAGAGTAACAATTAAGCATATAAATAATATATTCTATTTTTTCAATTTAATAATTTTTATATTAAAATTAATTATAAAAGAAAATGGTTTATTATTTATTTTTACTAAAATATCTATGACAAGTATTTTGTGATGGCACCTTTTGGGTGGAGCTACACCTACTAAGAGGGGAGGTATATCTGCATGGGTAGCTTGGCAAACAATTATGGTAGCCTCTAAAATATATTAAAAAAAAATACATATATGCTTAAGTTGTTATAACATATATCAGTGACTCATAAAATAATATTTTGAACATAATTTATTTTTATATATAGGCATGCATTAATTTTTGCCATGTATGCATAGCAAAGTCCAAGTCAATGCTACATATGCAATTTTTTTTACTATATAAATTTTAACTACATATTAATTTTGGTTTGCTTAAGAAAACTTGTAGGGAGACTGGGATGGTAGTGAATATATCTAGAATATGTTTGGATATTCTAGGATATTCTACCATTTAATGGTTGTTATTCATTTATATTAAATTTGTCTTTATAATTTATATACTTATTTATAATTTATAAACTTTCTTAAGCCCTTTTCTAGTATATTCTTTTTTATTCTATCATTTAGTGGTTGATATGCAATAAGATTAATCTTGTATTTATAAATTACAAATATACTTACAATTATAAATTTTATTTGATCAATTGAATTAATGAATAAGAATAACACTACTATTAAGCAAACCAAGCATTACTACATACAACACATAGCAATTTATTTTGATATATCAGTAAGATTTAGACTTATGGTTTATAGGCATGATATTTTCCAATAGGCAAGCTAGAGGTTTTAGCACATTTTGGATAAAGCTCACCATTGCTATATGTTAGTGTTATTTTCTTAGTAAGGGTAATGAAAAACACTTTATGCAATAAACCATTACAATTCTAGAAACATCAATGTATGATAAAGAATACAAGAAATCCACTTAAGAATAAGTAGTATGAGATTTAAGCCATGCAATCCAAAGGTTCTATGCCAAATTCTCAAAAATATATAATTGCTCTCAAAATGTGCTCAAATTTTGTTATTAGAGAAGAGAGCAAGGAAATAAATAGAGGTTTCATGAAATTAGTGGCATTATAGCAAGGCATGGCCAATGTTTTATTTCGGCCCCCAAAAAGCCATTTGAAATGGCTTTTTGGCAGAGAAAATGTTAAGCTTTAATATAAATTAGTGTCATCTAAAAAGTCTGCTGCCAGTAGTGGCCAGGCCGACAACTTCCTTAAGCAGCCTAAAAATTAAAAAAGCAAATTGCTTGAATGAAAACCCTTTATCCATGTATGTCAATAATAGCCCTGACAACCTAAATATGCATTGAATCACCATCAAATTTTTTCTCCGGCAGGGTTAAAGGTTCAAGGATCATACTTAATTAAATGGTCATAATTATTCAAAATGCCAAAAAGAAGCTTTGAATAAAACCTTGGGCATGGCTTTGCACTTTTAGACATCTCAAAGCAACAAAAACAATAATAAAGACTCTAAGCTTTAAGGCATGATAATTGGGGTAAATAGTTTATATAGAGACTTGTGGTTCTAGACTAGAGAGCAACTAAGTCAGTGACGGGCTTGGTTAACTTCTATTGCAAAGTTGGAAGCTTAGTCTTGGCTTAACAAGTATTCTACTCAATGCCATCAAAAGATTTTGTAGCTTGGATGCCAAAGAGACATTGGCTCCATGTTTTAAAACTTTTGCAACATATGAGATTTTGGCCTTCATCTTAATAGCTTTACATTTCTCATGATCATCAACACTTGCAACCATGCAAGGCTTGTGAAATAAGGAAAGGAATGTTTGTTTACAATGGAAATGAAATGTGAGATTTGTCTTGGGTGTGAACACTACCATGAGTGATTAATATCTTGGAACAAATAAACCATTTGGATGAGTCAATGATATTGTTGGAATTTATGCCTCTAGAACCAAGTTGTGTAACATGGACTACTATTTTAAGTGTGTTTAAAAAATGGAAAAATATGCAAGCTAGGTAGATTTTGTATGACATTTTAGTGAAAATTGATAAAGGAACAAAGTTGCATATATACTTATGGCTAATCTATATGGAAATTAACATTTACATGCTTGTTGAAAGAATAAAAATTGGCAATTGTGACCAAAAAATCACTAACTAAACACTCATGTGTGATATTATGACAAAATAAAAAATTCCTATTCAATACCTCGATTTTGATGATGGTGTTTCTCATCCTATTGCTCCACAAATTGTTCATGAATTTCATCTTTATATGACATTGTAATAGGAAAAGAAGAGTTGTGGAATAATATAATATAAATTAGCATTGCATACTTGCTCGCATAAAACTTACATTACGTACTTGATTGTGTAAAACCTTTACTATATTTGTGGTTGTCATGTTATCTGGGATGATGTTGTATTAGTTTTACATGATAGTTTGAGGTGTCATACTCCCATGGCATACCCTATTACAAAAATAATATACACACAATCACATTTAAATTACATATATAGTAATAAAAAAATGAATATGTGCATAATATTTTTGCATCAAAACAAAAAAGAAAAAATTCACATGTGTAAATATACGTGCAATCACATATTCATTGCCATAAATTATTTAGCAACATTTAAGTTATTTTACAATTTCAACTGTTTAATTGCAAAATAGAATACATAATAGTTCTGACACAATTAAAATTTCTACAAAGAACAAAATGATCCCACTCATAAACCTACTACGCTGCTTGAGGAGCTCAACTCGAAAAGTTTGCTTCTTCTCGAGAACTCAAAACCTTTGGAACTCTGACCTATTGAATAATCTACGAACATCTACCGGCTGTCGCCGGTGGCTTGTGGATAAATGTGAATTTTTCTTTTACTGCGGCGTCGACCGCGCCTCGCCGCGTCCGGCACGAAATTTTCCCAACAGGAAAACTACATATCCAAGCAAGAGCAGCCACGTCGCAAGCTTTTTACCAGCGGTAACTTTGGGCCCTGGACACGTGCCGCAAAACAATAAGGAGGAATCTCCATAGATCAGAGATTTACTCCGTGGTAGATGTAGATTTTACCACACCCCCTGTATCATGCAAGCTTGAGGGCGAAGAACATTGGCGGAGGAGCGGAGGCCGCAGTTTTGGGGGAGAGGCGCTCGCGGCTGCGTCGGCGATTTGTCCTCCGTGCCCTGGTGAGCGCCAATCCCTGCCTGTCGACTGCGTCCATGCTTGGAATCTCTCTGGGAATGGGGGTTTTAGTGTCAGATCGATTGCCGTGCGCAGCGACTTCTTCGTCTTGTCATGGCATTGGCAGCTGGGAACCTAGCTCGCGGCGTCGGATTTCTCCGTGGATCGGGGTCGGGGCTCTTGAGATTTCGCCTGTGGTTTCGTCTCCGTGAAGATTAATGTGTGTGTGCGTGTGTGAGTGAGAGAAGCAAGCTTTCTTTCCTCTTCTTTCTTCTTTTGATCTTCCTGCCTGGATGGTCTCGTTTTGCTGCGCTCTCTCTAGGTATTCTATATTTCTTATCAGTCCCGAATTGATTGAGTCTCTCTTTCTCTCTCTTGTTGGTTTGTTTCAAAGATCTCCAGATTGGTGCCAAGCCAAGAAGATGAAGATCCCATCATTTCAGCGAGCGTCCTCCAACAATCGAATTCTCCCTCTCTGCGACGAGGACGACGACTACGAAGAAGCAGAGCGCAAAGAGACAACGCCAGCATTACCGCCACCATCGCCACCGTCACTACGACCAGGGGGAGATCCCAGCTATGGAGCTACTGGGTTCCAGGATCCATCTTCGCCCATGGATCCCAAGCTCTGGAGCAAGCTCCCGGAGGACTGTGTGGACAGGATCCTGGCGCGGCTCCCACTGCCCAGTATGTTCCGGCTACGCTCGGTGTGCAAGCGCTGGAACTCGTTCGTCCATTCCGAGGCCTTCTTCTCGCTCCAGTCGGAGATCTCCGCCAGCCGCTCCAGCTTCCTCCTGTGCACCCAGGGCCGCGTCTCGTGCGTCTACAACTTCTCCCTCGATGGCTGGCACTTCGTTCCGGTCCCGAGGATCATCCTGCCCATCGACATCCCGCCGGTGACCGTCGTCTCGGCCTCTGGAGGCCTGCTGTGCTACGCCAACCAGGTGGCCGAGTGCTCCACGCTCTTCGTCTGCAACCCCTTCACCAAAGTTCTGCGCGAGATGCCACCCATGCGGCGCGTCCGGCTCATCCACAAGCTCAGCATTGTCACCGATCCCAGCAGCAAGCTCTACCAGATCATGGTCTCGGGCGAAGATGGTGGCGACGTCGGCCAGATGCTGTGCCCGCACGTCTACAAGCTCTACACCGAGGTCTACGACTCGCGGTCGGGCTCGTGGGAGATGGCGGCGTGCCCGCTGCCCGAGGCCAAGTTCGGGAGCGACCCCGGGGTGTGGCTCGACAGCGGGAGCTTCTACTCCATCACCGAGCTCCCGTACGGAGTGGTGAGCTTCGACTCCAAAACTCGAACTTGGTCCGAGGTGAAGGCGGAGATGCCGTCCGGCCTCGCCTCGCCATCGCTGGTGGCGTACAAAAAGAGCCGGCTCTTGATGATCGGACGAGTGAAGGGGAGGAGCTCCGCCACAGCGAAGCCGGAGCTCAAACCAGCGACGGCGATGGCGGCGATGGTCGAGGAGGGATTGAAAGTTTGGGAGCTCTCGCACGGTGCCGGGCTCGGGACGTGGACGGAGGTGAACAGGGCCCCGGTGGAGATGTGCCGCGAGTTTCTGGATGCGCTCAAGCCGAGGACGCCGCTGGTTTGCTCCGGGGTGGGCGACTTGGTGTGCGTGACGAGCCACCTCAGTCCAAAGGCGCTGGTTTTCGACGTGAGCCGCGGGAGCTGGCGGTGGCTGCCCAGGGATCCACTCTTCCCGAAGAAGAGGAACTTCCATCTCCTGGGATTTTGTTTCGAGCCAAGGCTGGACATCCAGCCGTGACGGAGAAGAACTGGTGCACTGCTGCTGCTGCTGCTAGACGGCTGGTTTACTCGACCGAAGAAGATGCTCTCACTCGTCACTCGTCGAGACAATGCCATCCATATCTGACTTCCGGACAAGATCCTGCAGCAGCACGAGGTTCTCTCTTTCTCACTCTTTTTTTTATGGCCTTCCCTTGTTTTTCGGGTTCTCTCTCTCGCTCTCTTTTTTGCTTACGTTGATCATCCAACTCCTTGGTGGTGGTGGTGATTCTCCAATTTTTTTTAATGCTTTCTAGGTGGATAAAGATGGCTGTGACTAGATAAGATCAGAAGAGAGCCAGCCAGCTGCATCATCAATCACCATTTGAAAACAAGCAAGCAAAGCAGGCAAGATCTTTCTTCGTGTTTTTTTGGCTCAAGATATATACTAGAGAAGAGAGCATTCATTCACTACTGGTTTAGTTTAGCTCCGAGACTTCGTCGATGGATTTGTCAGGATAAAGTGACAACGTCGATCGATTTGGCAGGATAAAGAGACAACGCTCGCTGCTGACTCGACCGATTCCTTGGCTGTGCGAGAGTCCTTCCCACTGTTCCAACTTTCTTGGGCGATGCAAAGAAAGACGAAAGAAAGAAAAGCAAAGATGAAGTTGTCTCGGGGAATGCTTTCTAAAACCCACTCCTTTCTTTTATTCAAATCCCAAAGGAAAAATCACTGCAAATATCTTCCCGGTAAGCAAGCTCTATCCAACCGCTTGCTTAGATTTTTTTTTTTATGATGATACTACGCTGGCCGGGTCAACTTGGTCATGAGACTTGACTGTACAGCAGTTACCTCTAGAGCAATCGTTGCTTATTCTTTCTCGCTTCATCGTCCTCGTTTGATCTGTTAAAGAACTCCTCTTACCAGTCTTCTCTATAGAATGGAAGTTAGTAGCTCCACTCGGTGGGAAGCGTCGACTCCGAGGCCTGGTGGAGATGGGAGCACGACGCGGTGTAAGTTTTCCATTGGCTGCTCGATGGCGGCCACTCTTCGTCCGCGGGGTAGCTTAAGTTGGCAGCATCAACACCTCCAGTGGGAAGTGTAGGACCGCTTCCTACAAAAACAAAGAGAAGATTGTAAGCCAGGGAGTCATGATAATGCTAGGCCATGATCAGGAAACGCACCAGGAGGAGAGGTCCCAGGCTGCACTGACGGATAACATCGCATGTCATCGATATTTAGATTCAGTACTTGGACAATCCGCGACGGCAGAAGTACGCTCGAGCAGGCTGAAGGAAAGAGTTAGCTTGATTGAGGGTTGGAAGAAAAGTGAATTGCTTACATGATTTGCGTTTGGCGTAGTCATTGCTGCTACGAGGAAGGAAGACTCCAGTTCCGGTGGAGGACCTGTCTGCTGTTCCTCCCAGAAACACGGCACGCATGACAGAACCATTTGCTGGGGGCAGTGTCGGCCAATGCCCCACCGGACGTGGAGTTACTCCACACCGATATGTAGAGCGAGGGGCCGCAGGCGGAGCTTGCGGCTGGGCCCTGTTATGCCGATTCCAGGTTGGTGCGGCCTGCTTGGAGCCTCGACACTGGAAATGAAAAAGAAAAGGAGAAAAAACGTATTCAATGAGAAAGCTGAAAAAAAAAAGGAAGAAAAAGAAAAACTGGCTAGCGGCCTAAAGAAAAAAAGAAAGAAAAAGGAAATAGGTACCTGAGTGAGAGGACTTCGATCTTCTTCTTTCTGCGTCCACCCCCTCTGCACAGCAGCGGCATAAGGCTTGGCAAGGACGCACAAGGAGGAGTCATTCCCATTCCCGGCAGCGCCATGCCTCCACTGCACCTCGGGCAAATGACTTCCACGAGGAGAAACAAACTCCTCGACTTGCTGAAACCTGTTGCTGCTCATGTCGGCCCCTATAGCCGAATCCCACCCGTCATCAACAGCAGCTCCTCCAGGAGTTGAAGGCGGCGAGGAGACTTGAGATGAAACCTTGGAGCTGGAGCTACTGTTGATGGCGTATCCAGAACTCCAGCACCCGGCAGACCACTGAGACATCAAAACCAAAAAAAGAAACATCAAAAACTCCTTCCAGCACACAAGAAACGAAAAAGCAAGAACACAACACATACCTTTCGGAACTCCGTTGGAGATCCCATCGGCTGGTGCGGCACCGGATTCCAGCTACTTTCGCCCCACAAACCAACTCTATCTACGTTATCTACCTCACTAGTTTCGTCACTATCATCGAGCATGGAATGAGCCATTTGCTCAGCCAGCCCCGCCACGAAGTCGTCATCCTCGCTGCTCTCGGTCTCGGCAAACGAGTAGTCCGACGACAGGCCCGGAGGAGTAGAACATCCCCCAAAACAATTACTCTCCCCCCACTGGTGCTGAGAAGTCGGAGAAGCACCGCTGCTATTGCTATTGCTACTGCTACTGCTACTGCCGCCGCTGCTACCACCCGGAATCACCACTGCTCTGGCCTCCAAACCCATCTTATTCGGCGACACCGGAAAAAAATCTCCCATTCACTGGGAGAAACGACGACCCAAGTCCCCGGGATCTGTTTTTGACTGGAGCCGTTACCTCAATGCCTGGAAGGGAAGCTCCACAACTCTGAAGAAGCAATGGAAAAACATCTTTCAGAGCCGCCAAAGAGGAGATGAACAGAGCAAGCGCACAGACACCCAAGCACACAGACACCCAATGAGCAAATGGCGTAGATCTTTCGTTTTGCCGCTTCCACAAGCAAGAGAGACGAAGGGGAGGAGAGGATAATAGGAACAACGCGGAAAGATGTGCCAGTCGCGCACAACACACTCTTTAAAAGTTAAAACAACCAAGGAATCTCAAGTCGGCCCGGCCAGACAAAGAAGAGACCAAAGAAAAAAAAAAGAGAAGAGAACCCCAGCACTGTAGAAAAAGCCAGTCTTTGCTTGCGAAAGCGAAGCTACGGGGGCAATGACATGGGGCGGGGGGAAATACTGGGGAAAGGCAGCTGATTCCGGCCCGAAACTCAAGGGAAAGAGAAGAAGCTAAAAATTTGCAGGCAATGCAAGAAATAAAAGATCTCTCAAGCCTGAGTTCTCGCGATCTAGGTACTTACATTCCCGGCGATGGCGATGATAAGCGAGCGCGAACAAGAATCTCGCGGAGAACACCCGGCGGCGGCCGCGATCTCTTCCACATTCCGCGCGCGCTCCGCCCATCCCTCCCTGCAATTACGCCGCCATAGCCACTGATTTAGGGCAAAGCCGCAGTAAAGCAAATTAGCCGTTATTTCCCGCCCAGTCAGCCCTAGCCCGCCGCGTCACCGTCCACCTCAGCAGCGAGCCAGGCCGTCCGATCGCAATCCGACGGCTGCAGCCGGCCGTGGAGAATATCTGCGCAGCGCTTTTTGGCGGGAATGTCTCCGTCGCGGTCTCGAGTCTCGCGGCTGGGCGGCATTTTTACTTTTTAAGTTTTTTTGGTTGTTTTGAAATTCGCCCGCGCGGCCATCTCAATGTTGTGAGCGGCGGGAATTTTATAACTCACAACAAAACCGTTTGGTGTTAAAATGGACCGGAATCTCCACCAGTATCAGAATCTCTATATAATCTATGATTCATGCATGCCATTGTTGTTTTTAGATTTTAAGTGTATGGCGAAGAATCGGCCTGGGACCATTCTATTTATTTGTATCTTTTCAACGTAGGATCATATCAAAGACAAACCCTACCACCCTAATCTATCCAAAAGAAAAGGTATCGTGACTATCATGTCAAGTTGAAAAATCCTCACCAAAAAAAATCATCGACAGCAGACACCAAACCCTAATTTCGCCGCCGCCGCCACCTTAAAAGATCCCGCTGCCTGGTGTCGACATCACGGAGAATATCCGCAGCTTGTCACGTAGCTCATTTTTTCTTGGAACAGAGCTGGGCAGCATTTACGTGCAACTCACGTTGGCCGTATTTTCTTTCTCCAACTTTTAAAAACTTTGCGCGTGGGCGCAAATATTCTCACTATGTTCACTTGACAAGGAGCTCCGCCTTGAGCTTCAAGCTCACCAGCAAATCCTCGAAACTTTTCTTGAAGGAATCCACCCCTTCGATCTCGAGGAGCGAGCCAACGTCGTCCCACCGGATCCCCAGCGCTTCGATCTTGTCGTAAATCTTTTGGGCTCCATCCACGTCCGAGTCTAAAGTTCTGGCCAGCGTCCCGTGATCCACAAACGCCTCCAGTGCATTTCCAGGCATCGTGTTCACCTGCGCGTGTCAAGGCATGGATTTTTCTATCAGTGACAAAAGAGAAAGATCTAGTCGCTTTACCGTGTCAGGGCCGATCAAAGTGTCGATGTAAAGAGTGTCGGAGTATGCCGGGTTTTTCACGCTCGTTGAAGCCCACAAGAGTCTCTGCTTCCTGGCTCCACGCTTTTTCAGTGCTTCCCAGCGAGGCCCCGAGAATTTCTTCTCGTAAAGTTGGAAAGCCAGAGCTGCCTGCGCAACGGCTGCCTGCATGAAGAACGCAAAGAGAGGAAGTCAGGAAAAGGAAAAACTTTGTTTCGTCACCTTGCCACGCAGCTGGAGCGCCTCGTCGGTGCCAATCTCATTCAGCCTTTTATCAACGAGAGTGTCGACCCGGCTTACAAAGAAGGAAGCCACACTCGAGACGCCCGAGAGATCTCCTTCTCTAGCTTCGAGGCCATCGAGATATGCATCGATCACAGCTTCATATCTTGGGAGTGAGAATATAAGCTGTTACGCAAAAAAAAGAAAAAAAGAGGAAATCAAAAAAATTAAGTAGAGAATTAAGAAGCTTACGGTGACGTTAACACTGATGCCGAGGGAGATGGCGCTTCTGATTGAAGGAACACACTCAGCCGTCGCAGGAATCTTCACGTAGACATTGGGACGATTGACTTCCTTGTGCAGCCATTTTGCGGCGTTGAGCGTCTCGTCTGTCTCATGCGCGAGTAAAGGTGACACTTCCACAGAGACGTATCCATCTTCGCCTTTGCTCGAGCTAAAAACACCAAGGAAAAGGTCGCAAGCATCCTGGATGTCTTTGATGACCATTTGCCAATAAGCATCCTCCACTTTGCTACCACCCTTTACCAGCTGCCTGAAAAAAACAAGAGTAGAAAAGCAACCACTAAGTCAAAGTTGCTACGAACCTGAACTGTGGATCATAAGCGTCGGAGGAGGAGATGGCTTTCTGGAAAATCTATCACAAGGAAGAAGAGAAGATTTGAGAAAGAAAAAACGTTGTTCTCGACCACACTCACCGTGGGATTGCTCGTTACTCCTCGGACGCCACTGTCGATGAGTGGCTGGAGATCCGTGACAGGGCGCCTGAGATTGTCATACCATGGACTTTGCTGGTGCTTGCTATAGAGCTCGTGAAGAAGCGTAAGCTTCTCCACCTTGGAGGGCGTATCTAGCACCATACATTGCACTCTAGTGAAAGCACAGTGTTACTTAGCGCGCGCGCACACACACACACACACACAAATGAGAATACCTCAAACCCTGTGGATCACGGGTGTTCTTGAGCGGCATCACACATAATCTCTGTGTAGAGGAGCCACCGGCCGAGAACCTAGTAGCATCAGATCGCGAAAGACCTAGCGAGCTTAAGGATTGCGCCTTGAGTAACGCCATGCCTGCCGGAACACAGGATTTACCAAGCTCGTGATTGAAAGATTTTTACAAGAGAATCGATCGACGATCGCAACCTAGAACCACAAATGCAGCAGAGATCGCAGGATTTTACCTGATATCGAGCGTGGACCGCGTGCGCTCGACCCTAGACGACTGCGATCGGGCACAAAGAGAGCTCGCCCCTAGCTCCTCGCGAGAAGCCTATTTACTTTGACACTTTGATGATAAGCTTGGATCCAACGGTGGCTTCGGGGCATCTCAACGGCTGAGATGAATTCAAAGTGGTCTTTTCTGACCAGTAGGCACGACTGCCACGTGGTAACATCCAACGGCTGACATTCAAACGGCAGCTGCTGACTTGGCAAAAATAAAGGCGCGACGCTTTACCGTGATCACATTAAAGAGGAGCTCTTTGGTTGAGAAAGAAGAGACATTGGAGGAAGGAAACGATGGTGCGATCGACAAGAACACGAAGCCGCGCGGCTGCCAGGGCGGCGCCGCCATCGCTGATGCGCAGGAGGAGGCGACGACGCAGAGTAAGATCTTAGATCAGGAAGTCACGACGAGAGATCTTTCTTCCTGCCCCAAATCCCTTAAAACCCTATTCCCTCGCTCGCAGCGCCGAAGAAGAAGAAGAAGACACGCCAAGCCTGCGTCAGGCGCTAGTGGATCCTCACGGAGTGACGAGTAAATCCATCGCTATCGACTCCACCGCATCGATGATCTCATCCTTAGCAAGCAAAAGAAAATTTCTTCCAATGTATCAATCCATCGCCAGGGAATAAAATAGCGAGCTCGCCTCGTCGTCTTTGCTTTTCCAGGGAAGAGTCCACCATCTTTATAAACACGTGGCCCGCTTTCATTGGACCATGCCCATCAACGGCTAATAGTCATCCATTCTTCTGTGAAGGGAGATTTTTAGGTTTTGTGTGGAGGACGAAATGCCGGTGCCCGTCGTCGACAATGCGTACCTCAAGGCGATCGAATCCGCCAGGCGCGATCTCCGAGCTTTCATCGCCGAGAAGAATTGCGCGCCTCTGATGCTGCGATTGGCGTAAGTTTCCACTCTTGATTCCAGCTCCTCTTGATTTCTAGCTCTCTCAGATGGCACGATGCTGGCACTTACGATGCCGTGTCCAAGACTGGAGGACCGAATGGCTCGATCCGGAGCGAGCGGGAGTACACTCACGCTGCCAACAATGGGCTCAAAATTGCCATTGATTTCTGTGGTGAGTGCTACTTTTTGGAGATTATATGCTATAGAAACATTGTTTCGCAGAGCCTATCAAGGAGAAACACCCGACTATCACTTACGCGGATCTCTACCAGGTGCATGGATTTTCTCTTTTCTTTTTGTGGTAATGGTCAATTTTAATTTTTTTCTCGCTTATCAGCTAGCTGGAGTTGTGGCTGTAGAGGTAACTGGAGGACCTACGATCGATTTTGTGCCTGGCCGAAAGGTTTTGTTTCTGTTTGAGCTCTTTTTGATCAGTAGAAAACATGAAACTTGTCCATAGGATTCCGTCGCTACTACACCAGAAGGACGACTTCCCGATGCTCATCTAGGTTTGTATCATTCATTCTATGTAGCTATGAGTTTACAAGCTCGGGATGGCTGTTTTTTTTTTTTTCAGGGGCAAAACATATCCGTGACGTGTTCTTTAGAATGGGTCTTTCTGACAAAGATATCGTCGCCCTCTCGGGAGGTCACACAATAGTAAGTCTCTCCTGTTTTATAGAACAATAAAAGTTTGTTTTTTGTTTTTTTCTTTTTTTTCAGGGAAGAGGTCACAAGGAGAGATCCGGCTTTGAGGGACCATGGACACCACAGCCATTGAAGTTCGACAATTCGTACTTCAAGTAAGTCTCAGCTCCTTACTCTCTTTTTTTGGTGTCTTACGTATAGTCCGAACAAACACTAGGGAGCTCTTGAGAGGAGAATCAGAGGGCCTCTTGCAGCTGCCAACAGACAAGTGTTTGCTCGAGGATCCGTCCTTCCGTCCATATGTGGACTTGTATGCAAAGGTATCGTCAAAAAAAAACAAAAGCTTTTGGAAGTTTTCTGAGACTCACTCACTATAACGATACTGTGATCCAGGACGAGGACGCATTCTTCAAAGATTACGCCGAGTCTCACAAGAAACTCTCGGAGCTGGGATGCAAGCACACCTCTCCAGCGTTTGGAAACGCAAAGGCATCGCTAGCTGTGGATTCTCACGCGAGCACTGCGACAGTACTGGCTCACAGTGCGTTTGGCCTCGCGGTTTCAGCCATCGTCGTCGTTCTAAGCTACGCTTACGAGGTTCGCAGGAAGACTGCTCTCAAGTAGAACGACGTAAACAATGAAGCAACGCTCGGCCAATCTGGGCCGTCGATCTAAGTTAACAAACCCGAGAATATGCTTTATTTGTAAAAAAGGGAATCTATCTGGGGTTTTCATTAGGGTTTATGCGGTGATGGCTATGGCGCCCTCGCTGCGAATCGGCGGCCGCATTGCCTCGTCCTTCCTCGGCATCAACAGCTGCAATGGAGCAAGGAAGTGCGTGAGCAGCAACGGCAGCAGCAGATCAGGGCATTTGTTAGTGGTTTTTCGAGGTCAGTTCTCGGCCTCGGCACCTAGGAGGGCAAAGGGAAGCGCGGTGACGGAGTGGCACGACTCTGCGGATGCGTATTTCGGCGCCAAAGATTCAATTGGGAGTGTAGATAGTAGTACTCTGGCCGAAGCGGAGGATTTGCCGACGCATTCCAAGCGCAGCGCCAGGATTGCCGCGAGGCTATCAAAGAATTCCGAGGAGGCGGCGGAAGAGCATGACAGAAGACACAGCCCAGCTAAGTTTGAGGATAGGGGGCTGAGCGTTCCTGCCAGGAAAAAGGACTCGTTTTCGATTCAGGAGGAAGAAAGCAATGTGGCTAGCAGTGATCCGGATGACGAATTCGAAGAAGCAGAGGATGAGCGAGAACGGAAAAGATTTTTGCCGACTGGAATGAGAAGACTCAAGCGAGGATATGGAAGAAACGACATGAGAGGGAACGATATGAGGAGATACTATGATCCAAGAGAGATCGACGAGAAACCATCGGAAGTTCCAGCACTCAAAGGCGAGGCACTGTATGGGATTGGTCCCGTGAGAGCGGCACTCCAGGCGAGGAGAAGAGATCTATACGTGCTCTACGTCCAGAATGGTCTCGACGAGAAACATCCTGGGAAGAGGAAAGCTCTGGCCGATGTGCTCTGGATCATGAAGGCCGCCAAGCGCTTGGAGCTCCGGGTAGAGACGACATCCAAGCACGCACTCAACGTTCTCGTCGACAACAGGCCTCACCAAGGGATGGTTTTGGATGCGTCACCTTTGGAGATGGTTGATATCTCGGCTCTGGATCGTCCCGACGCTATGCTGGCGAGAGCTCCGGTCTGGGTTGCTCTCGACGAGGTGAAAGATCCTCAGAACTTCGGCGCCATCCTGAGGTCGTCACACTTCTTCGGGGTTTGCGGGGTGGTGGTGTGCTCCAAAAACTCGGCACCGCTGAGTGGAGTAGTGAGTAAAGCCAGCGCCGGGGCCTTGGAGATGATCGATCTGCTTTCCTGCAAGAACATGATGATGTTCTTGAGGGACTCGGCTGACAACGGGTGGAGAGTGATTGGAACTTCCAACAGCCCCGAGAGCGAAGTCTTGGGCGATCTTCCAAAGAACGTCCCGACAATTCTGGTGCTGGGAAACGAAGGAGTTGGGATCAGGCCCTTCGTGAAGGCGGCGTGCACACACATGATCCGGATCCCAGGCGCTCTTCCTTTTCGGAGGCCCAGGAAAGCTTCGAGAATCGAGGAAGAGGCGGCTGCGCAAGTGGAAGCGAGCAGTGGCAGCGAACTAGCACTGAAAGCCGCGGTTCGCTACGAGATGATGAAGCTCAACTCGGAGGTGGATTGCGTTCTAAGGCCAGGAACCGTGGACAGTTTAAACGTGAGCGTTGCTGCTGGAGTTCTTCTTCACGAGCTCACGAATTTCTCGACAAAGTCACCATCGCCATCGAAGCTCCCGGCTTGATCGCTGCTCAAAGTCCAAGACTCTGGTATGGACTTTTTCGCGATTCATCGTGAAAAATCTAAGTTTTCGTCAAGTTCCTTGTTGAAATGTTCTTCGCGGGCAGCGATCGAGTGGCACAGCTGGTGGCCCGCGGTTGGGCCACGTAGCGTGATTCACTGCAAAATCATTGTGTGCTATGTTAGGGTGGGCGCTAGGGTTTGGGATTAGAGGCGTTAGGGTTCTTGAGAATGCGTCGCCGGATCTCTCTCGGCGCTGGATCGCTGCGCACCTGATCTGTGCGCATTTTTCCCTGAGCTGCCGCGCATTCGCTACTGTGGCGATTACATCAATGACAGGGAAGGCAAGAAAACGACATTGCGCAAGCTAGAAGCGAGCAGGATAAGTACGAGGTATGGATTTTATTCGTTTTCTGAGCTGATAGCTCTTACATTCCCTCGGATTGTCCAGGTATTGCCGGCTAGAAGTCCCAAAAAACGATTTTTTCTACAAAGAATGCAGTGAATGCTGTCCCATTTGGCAGACTTTCTCAAGCTTGCATCCTCGTGGATTGCAAACTGCACGGCGTGTATGGGGTGCGTAGGAACAACCATTCTTTTGATTCGTCTTTCTTTTCTCGATCGAGATATACTAGTGATGGTTTTGTTCTTTTGCAAACTTTTGCTGGATTTTGCAACAGAGCAGTGGCTGTGTTGGCGTCTTCAAAAAATCCCCGCCTGTAAGAAGTGTGGAGAAATCGAGGAAGCACAAGGCGGCCAAGCGGGGGTCTCACGGGCATGGTCCGCCGCAGAAGGATTGGTGGTCATCCAGCTCGAATGATATGGATAACAATCTGACAAACTCCAGATCTTCGCAGAGGAGCACGTCGTCGATCAGTGGTGTCAATCACAGCTTGGATAGCATCAACGCCGCCAACAATGGTGGCTACATTAATAACGGTGGGTTCTTGTTTCTTTCGCCAAAGTTACTCTTTTCTTTCTCTCGAAGGGTCTAACTTTGCCTCAGGGAACAGCTTTAACTTTATGGACTGAGCAGCGAAGACTCTGGATTGGAGATCGTCAAAGAAACCGATCGCAAGACCCTCGCGAAGCGGCAGCGAGGTAAGCCAGAGCTGTGCTGTTCGTGAGCTTTGCTGAGATCATTCGGTCTCTTTTTTTTTGGTTTTTGGTTGTCTTTCTTGCAGCTGGCGCCCGACTTACGACGATCTTTTGTCAAACCATCGTCCGCAGGATTTGCTAGCGACGAATCGTCCATTCCCTCAGCCTATACCTCTACCCGTAAGTTTTTCTATTAAAGTCTTGGCTAGAAGTCTGGTAGCTTGTCAAAGTGTTGTTGGACATGAATCACGATCTCACTGGTGATTTTGGTGTGATCTTCCAGGACATGATCGATTTCCTGGTGGATGTGTGGGAACAAGAGGGCCTCTACGACTGATGGAGTTTTAGAGTTTCCATCCGAGCTTTCGCCTATCTACAAGACACACACACACACACACACAGGATTGAGAGGAGCGAATTGAGTTTCTGGTTGTATCAACAGACTGGTTTTTTTTTCTTACAGGAAACGAAAAAGAGAGAAAATTCCCTCGGAATATTTCTTTCGTGTATTAAAGATACCCGTTTAAGTTGGTGGTTAACTGATAGTAATGATAATTAAAACCTCTGGGCGAGCTGTCACTCTCTCTCCACAAAAGGACCTTTCACTGACCGCTCCCTTTCGTCCACAGGACGACCTACCGATCCAACCACTAGGGAGCGATGGCGGTCCACGTGGCGGTGTCTGGTTGGGCGTGGCTTGCTACCCGACAGTGGTCTTTCACCGGAAGAGACTCACCGACACCGGTAAACCATCTTTCCGGCGGGTTTCATAGAGTAAGAACTACGGTTTTATTCCATCTTTCCCTTTGGCTAGAAGGGAGGAGCGCCAGGGTTTCCTCGATCGATCGATTCGCAAATGCGGCTGCCAGGCGATGTTTGATGCGCTTCCAGCTCTCGATTGATCCAAGCGGCGCCTTGTGTGGAGGTATGGTTGTGTTCCTCCCGAAATATCGTCCTCCCGGGGTGATTCTAGAGCTCTGGCAGTGAATGCAGGCGAGCTAGAGGCAAGATTTGCGATCCGAGCCCTCGCGGAGTGCCAGGATGTATCACAACATGTGGGGCGGGCCTCTGGAGGTCTTCCAGTTGGAGGGCCACGACGATGACCAGAGCCGGAGCATGGAATTGGATCGAGCGGCGCTCCAGAAGCTCGAGGAGACGCAGCAGAGCTGGCTGCTTGGAGCTGGAGAGAAGAAGAAGAAGCAGGTCGTGGATCTAGGCTGCATTGTTTGCAGTAGGAAGCTCTTCACGGGGATTGTCACGGCATTGGTCGCGGTTGGGCTTATCATTGGGTTCACGGTGCTGATCGTCAAGACGGCGCCCAAGCATCGCCGCCACGCTCCTCCTCCGGATAACTACACGGTGGCGCTCCATAAGACTCTCATGTTCTTCAATGCCCAAAAGTGTAAGCTCGCTCATAGCTCCTAGGTGGTAGCATTTCATTTCTCTTAGAACTCTTTCGCTAAGTTGGCCTTTCTTTTTTCGTTTCTTTGCAGCTGGGAAGCTCCCGAAGCACAACAACGTATCTTTTAGAGGCAATTCTGGCATGCAAGATGGAGTGGATCCTGGGATCCACGGGAACTTGATCGGGGGCTACTACGACGCTGGTGACAACATCAAGTTCTTGTTCCCGCAGGCCTACACCATGACTCTTCTCAGCTGGAGTGTGATTGAGTACCGTGCCAAGTACGAGGCGGCCGGCGAGCTTGCGCATGTCACGGAGCTTATAAAATGGGGAATGGACTACATTCTCAAGACTTTCAACTCGACGGGGCTCCAGATTTACAATGAAACCACCACTCACATCGACTACATCTACGCACAGGTACGTTGAAATTCTCGCATGTTTCTATGGTGATTGTGTCCTGATGAAGTTCTCCAAACACTTTCTTTTATAAAGGTTGGTACTGGCACAACCGGAGGCGATGCCACAGCTACTGCCACTCCAAACGATCACTCTTGCTGGGAGCGACCAGAGGACATGGATTATCCTCGCCCGGTTTCCCAGCTCGGCACGGGATCAGACTTGGCTGGTGAAATGGCCGCGGCACTTGCGGCCGCTTCCATAGTTTTCAAGGACAATGCACCGTACTCCCAAAGGCTAGTCAATGGTGCAAGGGCACTCTTCAAGATGGCGAGGGAAAAAAGAGGTCGCTACAGTGCTGGTGGATCTGATGCAGCCCAGTTTTACAACTCGTCCGGATACTTTGACGAGTTTCTATGGGGTGGAGCTTGGTTATACTATGCTACAGGAAACTCGTCCTACCTACAGCTAGTCACAACATATGGTATTGGAAGGAACGCCGGAGCCTATGGAGGAGGTCCATACTACGGTGTTTTCGATTGGGATAACAAGCTTTTTGGTGCACAGGTAATGTCGACCAACGCTCTTTGCTCTCGTAGTAACTTACAGGTGTGTTACAGGTGCTCTTGACGAGACTGAGAATTCTACAAAGCCCTGGATATCCTTACGAAGAAGTGCTGAAGAATTTCCACAACCACACCAATCTTGTGATGTGCTCTTACCTCCCACTGTACAAGAGGTTTCCTAGAACACCAGGTAATGGTTTTTGCTTCTTGTGTTTTGATATATGCATATATAATACTGGCTTGCTCTGTTCCAGGCGGGTTGATCATTCTGAATCGTGGAAATCCCGCTCCTCTTCAGTACACGGCCAATGCTGCGTTTCTCGCTGTGTTGTTCAGTGACTACATGATCGCTGGAGACGTTCCTGGATGGTATTGTGGCTCTCAGTTCTACACAGCAGACACAATGCGCAACTTTGCGAAATCCCAGGTTCGCCGCTTCCTCTCTTATGCTTCATATCTCTCACACGCCTTTGCCTTTCTCCACAGGTGGACTACATTCTGGGCAAGAACCCGCGAAAGATGAGCTACGTCGTGGGATACGGCAACAAGTATCCCAAGCAAGTACACCACCGAGCGGCATCCATCCCCAAGAACAAGCGAAAGTACGGGTGCCAGGAAGGCTGGAGATTTCGAGACAGCAAAAAGGCCAACCCAAACACCATCGTCGGCGCCATGGTTGGAGGGCCAGACACCAAGGATCGCTTCCACGACGTGAGAAGTAACTACAACTTCACGGAGCCAACGCTGGCCGGGAACGCTGGCCTCGCGTTCGCGCTGGTGGCACTGTCGGGAGGCGATTCATCGTCGGGGGTGGACGCTTCGAACATCTTCTCGGCGATTCCACCGCAGTACCCGGCTCCTCCTCCGCCATCGCCTCCCTGGGCTCCGTGAAGGCAAGTAGGAATAACAGCGCTCGAAGTCTTTGACGGTGATCTTGACGTGCCTCGATCTAGTGTAAAAGAACAAGGTTAAGTCAAGTGAGAAGCAGCACCTTGTATAACATATAGGGATCATTTGTAGTAAACCACCGCCATCTTTGTCGCCCTTTGGTTAGCAAAACCTTGAGCATGCTCTCCAAATGAGACCACTCCTTGTGCCGCTGCTCTCCACAAGCCTGGCCTGCGAGAATCCCACCAGCATACCAACGTAGCCTCCACTCTGGGCCTCTAAGACGGCTACGTTGGTAAACAGAAGCTCGCCATGGAGAACTCCCCGGTTGTTCTTCTAGTTTATTAATTATAATTATAAACTTCCGATATAATAAATAATACTAAAAAGAAAAAAGTGGTTGTAGTTTAGAGTTCTATACAATACAATTTAAGGATACCCTAATTGTCCAACTGGTAAAACTAAATCTGGATTATAATTTCTAATTAATACATATAAATATATTAGTATAGATACAGATTTAAGTTCATGCAAAATTTCTAGTATAATTTCTGAAATTGAATATCATATCTTTTTGTGGTGTAATATAATGAATATTATACAAATAATTTTATTTTCCTAAATTTATTTTTCAATTGTGATACAACTTTAACAGCTTTTTTTACAAGATTCAATAATGTTTAACTTGTCATTTCTAAAGCCACAAAATGGTAAAAATATATTATTATGTTACTGTCCAACTGTAAAATTAAATTATATTCAGGAAAAATATTTATAGTCATCTAATAAGGATTATCACCAAATTATTTATTTCTTACATTACATATATTACTGTTCAAGATTATTGTAATATTGTTATGTACAATTAAAAAACTCTAAAGTACTCATTTATAAAATACAAAATAATAAAATCTAAAGTTCATGTAAAACTTTAAACTTGGAAATATTGGCTATAATATAACTGAATTCCTATTGTCATGGATAGCTCAATGCAATTATTTCATATTTTCGCATAGAAACTCTTTAATTCCTCTCACTTTCAAATAAACTCCTTTACAACAAAACTTTCTATTCCTCTTGATCACTAATTTAAGTTACAGATTAGGCCACTAATCCATTTGTTCAAAAAGCTAAACAATGAATTTCTTTCAATGCTTCTTCAACTTTATATAATGATTTTAATTTGGAATGGGCTCCTTCATCAATATACAGATCTGTATGTATATGGTAAGATATATTATTTTAGTAGCTTTATATGCATAAGTATGTTGAACAATTTGTTCATACTTGTTAACAGATTAAGATGCCTCAATATAAGTCTTCTCCAATCCTTTCTTTTTGCTTGAGGGTTTTAGAAATTTATCTTTATGGATTTTTTTATTGATCCTCTACCTTCTCAAGATAAAAAGATATAATGTAGTTTATATATAAGTTTTATTATTTAATCGTGTTTAAATTTATGAGTTTTTTTATATGTGCTTTATATTACATAACAGTTTTTTTTTTATACTATAAAAGTTTAGTTTAGGTTATAAATGTTTTATTCTTAAGATATTTAACAATGTCACAATCCATCTAGAACCACCATACCACCACTTTTAGTCCATTTCAAAATAATGAGAGATCGTTGTTATTCAATATTTAACTTGGTTGCCTTGAGTTAGAAATGTGATGAAGGATTTGGCCATCTTGATCACCAGCTCTGGAAAATCATTTAATCTCTTGATGCTTAAAAACACAAAAGAGAGTTGTGAATTTATCATAGTTACACATAAAACACCTCACACTTGCAATATATACGAGCACTTAGTTAGAGCTTTGACTATTGTCCTGGTGTTGGAAAAAGAAGTTTATGTACCAATCGTACCATGGTTGCTGGCTTTCTTTGGAATGCCTGGCAGGAGAAGTTTCTCGATTGCTGCTGAGTGTTGCGGCCCAGCGCATAGATGCACCAGCCATCTACCTTGTCTCCTGCACAAAGAGAGGAACTTCTCTTCTAAACCTGGACTTGTTGGCCATGGCCGGATACGCGCAAGAGCTGGTGAGGGTCATGCCGAATCGTGCTACCATGGTGGAGTGGCTTTGCTTGCTGTGTCCTTGCAACAGCCGCGGGAGTCTCAAGCACGCCGCCGTGGAGATCGAGTCAGTACTGGAGCAAAACTTTGGATCCGCGTTTGTGGCGTTGGCAAACAAAACGATTTGATCACCTCGCTGCCATCTCTGTAAAAATTCTAACACAGGATATCAAGCGGGGATAGCTCAGTTGGGAGAGCATCAGACTGAAGATCTGAAGGCCGTGTGTTCAATTTGTGCTCACCGCACTTCTTTTTCCATCTTTCTAAGAATGTAATACGCATAGAGTTCCGAAGACAATATGTGGTTAAATAGACTGTGACCATTCTCCTCCAACTAGAAGAATCAATCACCTTTTTCGTTGAATAAAATCCAACACTTGCAAATATCATCCAAGTTTGCAAAGAAAAAGAGAAAGATAAGTCTAGAGCTTTACTTCTTAGATTGTTCCCAGCAAACATGTAGCCTACAAACGCAAGAGCCGACGGTAAAGCCATCAAATCCCCCAGGAAAGTGATGCCTTTGTCACCATCGGGCTTGCTAGCAAATGCGATGATCAAAACCCCAGCAAAACCCAAGAACACCAGCGTAGCCAGGATAGAACAGCGATGATGAGCGGAGGCATCGAAAGAAAGAGGAGGCTATGCTGAAGGGATGTGTGATCCAGTGACACATACCTGGATATCGATCGAAACAAAACAATTCTATACCCATAGGCCGAAATGCAAGGGTACTGCAAGAGCACAGATTGCAAGCACGCAAGACTTGCAATCTCCATGCTGCAGCGCGCTTCATCAGGTTGGTCACCTAGATCGCATGATCAAGAGAAAAGTTTTCAGTGAATCAAAGCGCCGGCGGATGATACAGGCGCACAGACCAGCACCAGCCACACGTACCATGGAGTCCGGGCAGCCATGGCTGGTACTTACGCCTTCCTCGCACACCATATATAAACCCTAATTTCGGCTATCACGAGAAGATTCGTTTGGGGCTTCTTCGCATCTTCCTGGTGGCTCGTATTCTTTCGTGATTACTTTGGAATTGGAAGACACAACAAGATTTTTCTAGTTAGGTATTCCTAGAAAATGAATGTGATTTTCTGATGTGAAAAAATTTCAGTTTGGTCCAGCTACCTATCCTTGACACGGCTAAGTTGTGATGCTTCCATCCAGCTTACAAAGAAACTACATGTAGGATGGAGGTAGAACCTGAAGTTAGAATTTAATAATGTTTGCTATGTTGACTTTGAATTGGACTGGAGTGAAGATTGTCAATTTGTGTTTTCAGGCAGCAACATTTGAAAAAACATATTTGTGTTTTATCGAAGATTGTCTTTGAAAATGAGAGATTCTATATTTGTTTTTTTATTGATTCCACAAGCATACATTGTTGAAGAAATAACTTGAATTTGAAGTTTCATAGATGACATATCTTGAATAGATTTTTTTATAGGGATTTTGAAAACAAGAGTACAACACTGAAGAAATAACTTGCACATGAAATTTCATAGAAAGTGCAGTGACTTTTGTATATAAAGTGGGGCTAGGTCTTTCACACATATACATAAGAGCAAGAGCAATTGGAAGATAGAAGATAGAAGTTTGATATAGAGTTTGAGGTTTGAGGGTTATGGCACCTGCTTATGATCCAACTTCTCCATTCAAAGGTGTAAAAGACTTAGTTGATCATAATGTTTTATCTCTCCCTAGTGCATATATAAAGCCATTCGAAAAGCGACATAATCCACAAGAGGTTTTTGAAGGAATTGATCTTCCACGTGTTGATTTACAAAGCAAGACTGCAATGGAAGATATTAAATTTGCTTGTGAGGAATGGGGATTTTTTGAGGTAATTATGATCTTTATAAGTTTTAAATTATATGTTTATTAATGTGTTCATTTTATAGCTGATTAATCACGGAGTGCCAGAAGATGTAATTGAAGATATGGTAAAAAACACACATACATTCTTCAACTTATCAACTACAGAAAAAATGAAATATTTTTCTGAAGATGTGTTTAACCCAATGAGGTTTTGCACAAGTCTTACTCCTAGTAAGGAATCTTACTTAGATTGGCATGATCATCTTCAACATTGGTTCAAATGTGACAATTTAAATAATCATCCATACCCAAATATTCCAATCCATTATGGGTATGTGACCATTATTATTATATTTAATACTTATCAAACTATTTGCAGGGAGGTGACTAAGAATTATGTGAAGAATATGCAAATATTGGGAAAAAAATTACTTATAGTCATGTCAAAAGCATTGGGTTTACATGAGAATAAGTTGCAAGAAATATACGGCAATGAGGAGATGATCGTTCGACTGAATTACTATCCTCCTTGTCCAGATCCAGAACGTGCACTTGGACTTAATCCACATTCAGATAGTGGTGGTATTACAATTTTATGGCAGGACCAAGTTGGTGGATTACAAATCCAAAAGGAAGGTAAATGGTATAATGTGAGATGTAACTCAAATGCATTAATTGTTAATGTTGGTGATCAAGTTGAGGTGAGTAAAATATAAATTAATATGTATATTTTATTTTAAACTGTGATGTTTTGGGCAGATTATAACAAATGGAATATTCAAGAGTGTTATTCACAGAGCTATTGTGAATCGTAACTTATATAGGATGTCAATGGCATCCTTCTTCAATCCTTGTGCTCAAGCAATAATTGCTCCTATCCAAGAGCTTTTAGACAAACAAAACCCAGCACAGTATAAAGCTCGATTATCAAAAGATTATATTGGAGACATCTATAATAAGTATATCGAAGGGAAAAATGTGAAACGAGAAGATTAAATTATATAATTAGAACTTACTGATTAAATAAGACATTTATTTGTCATTTTATTTTTCATAAAAATAAAACAAAACGTTTTTAGGATTTTATAAAGATTCATCTCAAACAAAACTTTTTTATTTCTATTTAATAAAACTAGGTGGACTAATTATTTTAAAAAATTATTAAAATTGGATAGAAGACAACATAATGCTCTAAATTATACTAATATACTTGCTATAATTTTAACAACATTTTGCATGAACTTGAAAGCTGTATTTTTAATAATATATTCATTAGATATTGAAATCTAATTTTTTGTTTATTTAAGCAAACCTGTAAGGGGACTAGGATGGATATATTTAGAATTGCTTGGATATTCTAGGATTTTCTACTATCTAACCCTTGTTATTCATTTAGATTAATCTTGTATTATAATTTATAAACATGTTTATAATTTGTAAACTTTCTTAAACCTTTTCTAGTATTATTCATTTTTATTCTTATGCAATAAGATTAATCATGTGTTTATAAATTAAAAACTGTGAAGGCCAAGTGTACAGCTACGATGCCGTATACTAATATTAGCGTAGTGGATTTTGGTAGCCGTCGGATTGGTTTCAATCCGGACCACTTGCTCCCGTATATAAGCTAGGGTTTTTGGGCTAATTGATATGCACATTTCTGTATTCCCTTTCCATATTCCATGCACTCACATTGGTGGAGTTGAGGGGCACTTTTGATTGTCCCTGGGGAGTGCTTGGATTTGGGATTTCGGTTTAGATTTAGCTTTTGCATCGTCTAGATCTAGCTTTTTCCATTTCCTTTCTTTTGTTCTTTCCTTTCAGTATTTTGGTTTCGATCTAGCTTTTTGCATTGTCTAGATCTACCATGATCTACCATTTCTTTCCAGCTTTTTTGTCATTTCTCTTCTTTTGCTCTTTCTTTTTCGTTCATCTTCATGGCCGATCCGCAATCTCCTCCTTTGACTCTAGAGCAGCAGTTGGTTCAATTGCTTGATGCTATGCGTTTGCAATTGAACAACCAAACTCAGTTGATGGCGGCGTTCACGGCACGTGGTACAACTCCTCCTGCTCTTGGTGCCAATCCTCGCGTTCGGCCGGAGTTTTTTCGCGGGAATCCTGGGGATGATGTGTACCATTGGTTCGATCACTTTACGGTGATTGCCACATATCATTCTTGGGATGATGCTCGACGGTTGCGTGAGTTTTCCACGTGTCTCCAAGGGACGGCGTTGCAGTGGTACAATGGTTTGAGCGCAGCTACTCGTGAGGATTGGAGTGTTCTCCCAGACGTCTTCAAACGTGCCTTCGGACATGCCGATGATTGTGATGATGCTTTCCAACAATTGCATCGTCTTTGCCAAGGGCCATCGGAGTCGGTGATGCAATTTGGTGTTCGTTTCCGAAGTCTTTTGCTTCGTGCGGAGCCAAATATGTTGGAGCGGATCAAGCTAGGAATGTTGTGGCTAGCACTTCGTCAAGATCTTGTCGGACTTGTGCATGCACTTGCTCCTGCCACCCTTGACGATGCTCTTCGCTTGGCACAACGTTATGAGACGTCGCCTCTTCCACTTCTCGTTGCACGTCCTTCCGCTCCACTTCCTATGGGTGATGGTCCTGTTCCAATGGAGGTTGATGCTGCTGCTGCTCGAGTCCAAGGACAAGCGCGAGGACGTGGTCGTGGCCGTGATGTTCGCTGCTGGGCATGTGATGAAGTTGGTCATACTTATCGGCGTTGCCGTCGTTTTCCGGATTGGCGACCTCCATTTCCTGGGTGGAGACCTTGGCGTCAGCAACGTCCCCTGGGTGCTGCTGCAGTGGAAGGTCTGGACACCGAGATGCATTCGGGAAATGAGGAGTCGCGCAAGTAACGGAGGGACTTTGCGCGAATAAATCAGTGACCCCTCCATCTTTCTTTCGGGAGTATCATCAAGGGGTTCACTCGGCACCAGTTCATCCGGTGTTTACTTTCCAAGCTCGTTTTTATAACAAGAAGTCTCCTATTATTCTCTCTGTGTTGGTTGATACAGGTTCGAGTTTATCTTCTATTGCTCGACCTGTTGCCACATGTTGTCGTCTACACTTGCGTCATGCGGCAGAACAAGTTTTCATTCTTTATGGCAACGGCCGTACACATGCATATGCATGGGATGAGGTGGACCTGGTTGTGCATGTGGGCGATCTCGAGCTTGAATTGCAGTCGTTGCGGGTGGTGCCGAGTCAAGCTTTTGACCTCATTCTTGGTATGGATTGGTTGCAGCGCAATCATGCCAAGTGTGACTTTGAGGCTTCTCCCCCTTGTCTCATACTTCCTTATGTTTTATCCATTCCTCTCACTTCCATACCTCTTCGTCCCTCTACTTCTACCTCTACTTCCATTACTTTTGTTTCCCCACTCTTTCCTTCTGTGTTTCCATCTTGTTCTGCTTTTCCCTTTTCCGATCCCTTCGACGATCTTTGTGTTGCAGCAGTTGACCAGCTCATGAAGGAGTATTATGATCTCTTTGAATTTGACCTATCGTCTGGGGCCAAGATTGCCACACGTCATCCAATTCCCACCGGGGATGCTCGTCCAATCAAGGTTCCTGTTCGTCGTCGGTCACCTAAGGAGATCAAAATTTTACGAGCAAACGTCAAGGAAATGCTGGAAAAGGGTGTTATTCGGAAGTCGCGGAGTCCTTGGGCATGTGAACCTCATCTTGTGACGAAGTTTGATGGGAGTATTTGTTTCTGCATTGACTATCGCCCGTTAAACGAAGTGACGATCCCAGATGTGTATCCTCTTCCTCACACTGCTGATCTCTTGGATCGTCTGGGGCAAAGTCGTTGGTTCACCAAGATAGATCTTGCTTCTGGGTATTGGCAAGTACCGATGGCCGAAGAAGATATTCCTAAGACTGCTTTTCGTACACCATTTGGTTTGTACGAGTTCTTGGTGATGCCGTTTGGTTTGAACAATGCTCTAGCAACTTTCCAGCAGATGATGGACGAGGTTCTTTGCAATATGCCGGAGGTGACTGCTGACTTCATTGATGATGTCTTGATCCACTCGGAGGGGACGTGGGAGGAGCACGTTCGTGATGTTTGTAAAGTGTTGGATCGGCTACGCGACGTTGGTTTAAAGCTGAAGCGGTCGAAGTGCGTGTTTGGGTCCAAGGACACAACTTATCTTAGGTACCGTATTTCTCGTGAGGGTTTGCAAGTTGATCCTGACAAACTTGTGGCTGTTCTAAATTTCCCTACTCCGAAGTGTGTGAATGATGTGCAGCGCTTTTTGGGTAAGGTGCAGTATCTTGGTCGTTTTGTGGATCATCTTTCCGATCGCACTACACCATTGCGAGCGTTGCTGAAGTCATCAACGTCATCTTTCATCTGGTCTCCGGATTGTGAGCGGGCGTTCGTGGATCTCAAAGAGCTATTGATAACTCCTCCGGTTTTGGCATATCCTGACTACACTTGACCTTTTATTTTGCGCGTGGATGCTTCTGACATTGGTCTTGGAGGTGTGTTGATGCAAGAGAGCTCAAGTGTGCCTAGTCAGCGCCATCCCATTGCATACATAAGCCGTACATTACAACCAGCGGAGATGAACTACTCCACGACGGAGAAGGAGTGTTTAGCAGCAGTCTGGGGTTTCGAGAAACTTCATGCATATCTACATGGTTCTCGAACGTTACTTGAAGGTGACCATGCTGCTGTTACTTCATTATTGAAGCGGAAGAACTTGGTTGGTCGTACAGCTCGATGGGCTTTGAAGCTTCAGATATATGATTTCGATGTTGTTCATCGCCCAGGGAGTTCTATGGCTGATGCTGATGCCCTTTCTCGAACTCCTCTTCCTTCTCCACTCATTTCTCATCATTCTGACGAACCTATTATTTCAGCATCTGTGGATTTTCTAGATGAGGATTCTGTGCCGTTGGCGGTTGCTGTCCTTGACGTTCAGTGTCCACAGGGTGCAGAGCAAGATCTGCCTTCTCTTGAGGAGGTTTGCGAAGCTCAAAAGATTGAGCCGTGGATTCGAAGGCTTCGAGATGGGTTTGAGAATCCTGCATCACTTGCTGATGACTTGCCTTTCCGGCATTTACATTCTCAATATCGCCTTGAAGATGGCCTTCTTTATTTTATGGGGACGGATCCTGATGATCATTTACAACTGGTGGTACCTTCGGTGTTTATTCCGCGGTTTCTCCATGCCTACCATGATTCTCCTGTTCTAGGTGGGCATATAGGACACCGTCGTGTCACCGAGAAGCTGCGCAGGTCTTTCTATTGGCCGGAGATGCGACGTGATATTATCCGGTATGTGCGTAGCTGCGTTTGGTGCCAAGCTCGTAATACTCCCCCTTGTGCTGCGGAAGGACGGTTGGAGTCAATTGCAGTTTCCCGTCCATTTGAGTTGGTGGCGTTTGATCTTATAGGACCTTTTCCACGATCGACTGTTGGCAATGAGTATGTTATTATTGCTTCTGACTACTTGACTCATTGGGTGGAAGTTGGTGCTCTTGCTAATGCCTCTGCAATTGCTGTTGGATACTTCCTCCTCAATCGAGTGGTGTTCCAGCATTTTTGTCTAGAGCGGATTCTTTCGGATAATGGTCCTGCATTTATGGCTGAGGTATTTCATGTTTTGACATCTCGGTTGGGGATACGCCACACTTTTACGAGTGCTTATCTTCCACAATCAGACGGTCTGGTGGAACAGCTCGTTCGGACATTCAAAGGGATGATTTCGAAGTATGTGAACTTTTAGCATTCGGATTGGGATGGTTATTTGCCGTCTCTTTGGTATGCCTATGTCACAGGGGTGCAGAGTTCTGTTGGTACAAGTGGGACGTTTTCCCCATCTTACGGTACGTGGTTTATTTAAGGGGCTCCTTGTGCAGTGGAAAGGATCGTATCGGGTGTTGCGGCAAGTTGGACCACAAGTTTATGAGGTTCGGCATGACGTTCAGCAGGCCGATCCTCCGGAGATTGTGCATGTGCAGCAGTTAAAATACTTCATACAAAGGGATCAGGAGCAGTTAATACTGTCTACAGACTCGCTGATGCCTCCTCCTGACGTTCCTCCAGATCCCAGCCCATCTACAAGAGAACCCTGACGGCCTTCCATTATTCCGAGAGGAGGGGATGATGTGAGGGCCAAGTGTACAGTTACGATGCCGTATATTAATATTAGCGTAATGGATTTTGGTAGCCGTCGGATTGGTTTCAATCCGAACCATTCGCTCCTGTATATAAGATAGGGTTTTTGGGCTAATTGATATGCACATTTCTGTATTCCCTTTCCATATTCCATGCACTCACAAAACATGCTTATAATTACAAACTTTATTTGATCAATTGCAATAATAAAACTACTATTAAGTAAACCAAGCATTGACACGTAGCAATTTATTAATACATTTTTCAAGATTACAGTTCCTCGACCAAAATCTAATCTAAATAGACTTCTACTTCCATCAGTTTTATTTATTAGGATGAACTTCATTACTACCTGAACTATTTGATCCCTGACATCCTTCAAAATGTCTACTGCAAGAATATTTAGATTTAGTAATGATTATGAAGTAAATATATATAAAAAGTAAAACCATTGTTAGCCATTTGTCAGAAGAACAAGACTGTTTTTAATAGTGTGCTCTTCAGAGATATACATTGTTTTTCTCTCCAAGTTTACAGTGTGAAAGAAACTTATTTTCCGTCACCTGTCATGATTTTCACCCGGCTCAAAAGTTCCAGAGTTTCACTGTCTGCCTCAATCTTAAACCTGGACAATATGCTCGAGTCTGCCTTGCGCTGAGAAGCACCGTAAACCTTGAGAAAACTGTTGTAGAGACGCACGTCCCCTGCAGCATGGTGGAGATAGTTTTGCATCAGCCCCTCGGCACTCTTCCAAAACTTGAGCTCCTCCAACACCGGCAGCAATGCCGCCACTGTCTCATAGCTTGGAACCACTGATCGCACAGCACACCCTTCCTTGAATCTCTCCAGAGCTTTTTTGCTGTCATTCTTGGCAAGATATCCTCGGACGAGAGCGTCGTATGGAGCGAAAGTCCGTTTGGACTTGTCGATCTTCTCCAGCAGCTCCTCGGCCTTGTCCATCATTCCCGCCTTGGAGTAGACCTCGATCAGATTCACCAGCCGGAAGCTCTCCTTGGCATGGTCCTTAGAGTCCTCCACAACTTCTTCCGCTCGTTTCACCATTCCCAGACGCCCGAAAGCTCTCACTGCCACCCGGAAACTATCGCGGAGGGGAACCTGTGGAGGTTTTGGTGCCTTGACAAACTTGTAGATCTTTTCCACCTTATCGGCATCGCCCAAGAACGCATAGACTTCCATGAGGTGATCCAGCTTGTAAACGTTGGCCTTCCTGATCCTGATCTTCTCCACGAATGCCCGGATTTCTTCCTCGAGACCCTCCAATCCCCCGACTCTCTCCTTGTACTTGAGCATGAGGAGGTAAGTTTCCAGCTTTGGCAAGAGCTTGGGGTCGTTTCTGAGAGTCGTGTAGGCGGCCAGCATCTTGTCGTGCATCTTGAGCTTCCAGTAGACAAGGATGATGGCGTTGTGAAGCTCCGCGGTGGTGGGATTCAAGCCTTGCACCCATCTCAGTGCGTGCTTGGGGTATCTCTTGGCTAAGCTCGTCACGAAAGCGACGGTGAGCTCCTCCGACTTGGACTTCACCGGGAGCCTTGAGTAGAAGCGTTCGGCTGGAGCCACTCCAAACTCCCGGAGAACCAAACCGAGTTCCAGTATGAGACTAGTGGTCCTGCTCTCCACGATCTTCTCATTGCGGCTGGTTTTCAAGAGCTACACGAACGAAATAAATCTAAGCACCGATGAAAATGTAGTAGAATATCAAGATACCTTCACAGCCTCTCTGTGGAGGTTGGGATGATCGGCCAAGGTCTTGGCGATTTGCAAGTAGTTCTTGTACTTCAACCGATTCCCTTGCGCGACCCAATCCTTGATGGTTTGAGTGCTCTCCTCAGGCTTGTCTGCGATACTCTTGCACAGCTTGACTAGCTGCTTCTCCTCCTCCTCTTTCTTCTTGCTCTTCTCATCCTCCCTCTGCTGCTTCTCATCCGCGACTGTGCTACATCCTCGAGCGCAAGAAGGTGCCGCTGCTGCGCGGAAGCGATTCAACTCGAGGCTGCCGATCGAAGAATGCAGGTGAGGCGCCAGTCGCGAATGGCAATGCGGAGCTGGGGACGTACCTCCGAGAAGCCGCGCCCTTCCACGCCCTCAGCATTCCTCGCATCGCCATTCTCGCTAGCCCTAGCTAAACCCTAAACCTTAGGTGTAGGTTTAGTGTAAATTGAAATTTTAATATAATTATCACGTCTAACAAAATACTTTTTATACATGGCAAAGTAAAAATTTAGTTTGATTCCATTAAGCTATGGTTATACACACCTTTCAGTGGCTAAAGTCTTTGTTCTTTCGCTCAGTCCTCTCCAATCACAGTCACCACAAAATTTTCAACCCGGAAAGCCCCCATCATCACTTAGAAACACGGATCGCTGTTTCTCTCCAACAAAAAAAAGACAAAAGGAAAACAACGACAGATTCGACAGGAGAATTAGTCGAAGAGACTGAGGCCCATATCATCATCAGATTCTTCTTCCGGCTCCACTTTCTTTTCTTCCTCAACCTTGCCACCGCCAGCAGCAGCATCAGCCGGAGTTTCACTAGCAGCAGGAGCAGCAGCGACAGCAAACTTACTGGGATCCTGGAAAAGTTGGAAGAGAGAATGTTAGAGACCTGCTGATGACAAGGAAAAGATCAAACCTTGAGATACTCCTTGACAGTCTCGGCGTGTGGATACGAGTAATCAGTCGCCAGAGCAACAGCAAGAACGTTCTTGTAAGAGTTGAGGAAGCAGTGCGTTGCTGCTGCCAGAGTTGGATAGCCGATAGCCAATGACAATGCTGCCACGGCCGAGACACCAGCGGCAAATCGACCAACGAGGTCATCCTCGGTCAGATCCAGCACTGCGGGATCAAAGACGGAGCCATCGTCGTAGACCATCTGGACAACAAGTCCGTAAGAGAATGGCCTGATGCCCAGCTTTGCAAGCAGAGCTGCCTCCGAGGAGCCAACTTTCTCCCCCTTTTTGATGAGCTCCACGGACGAGACGATCTCGACAGTTCCCTTGTTGATCTTGGTGGGAATGTTGAGAACCTGAAAGTTTGATGGTTTAAGATATGAATCACAAGTAACACAGAACGAGATAGTCCTATGGACGAACCTGGAAGAAAGATGTCTGCGATGGATCAAGACCAGTGCTTCCAGGAGGAATAGTCACGTCAATCGGTGCTACAAGCCCGACACGAGCTGGCGCTCCGACCTGGAGCAAATATATTCAAGCCGATTCAAAGACGAAAACAAAGATCATACCTTGTACTTGGCGACTTCCTCACGAACTTCTTTGAGATCGCCCTTGGTAAAGATCAGTCCAACGTTTCCCTGCCAAGATCCATGAGCTCTCGAGCAAGGAAAGTAAACTTTACAGAGAAAAAACGATTTTTTGCTTACCACCAAGAGAGGCATGAGACTAAGAACAGCCGTGTTGCCGCTCCTCTCCGCGTAAGTCCTGATCGTTCGCTTCATCAGAGTGTTCTTACCCATGAGTACCACCGATTCCGGCCTCAGTCCCCTGCGGATTTGCTGCAGCTGAGTCGAGCCCACATTGTCGGCCGCGCAAATCAGCGCCTTGGTGTAGTTCTCCAGCAGATCGACCATTTTCCTGTCATAGATCTCCTTCTTCTCCTGCTTCGTCCCCTTGAAACCCATCTCTAGTGATTCTTCTTCTCACTCACGGGGCCAAGCCAGCGAATCGATCGATGGCAAGGCGGAGGCGCGCCGCGCTTCTCTTTAACCCTGAAAATAGGTCTTGGGTTTAGGGCTTTCACGATCGAGTCACTTCTAGGAATTAGGGTTTTGCGCAGCAAGCGAGGCGGTCGCGATGGTAAGCGCTCTTGCTCGATTTGCTTCTTGCAGCAGCCCAGCTGATAGATTTTCATTTGCGCCATCAGCCTCAGGGAGATTACATCGATTTGCACCGCAAGCGGCATGGGTACCGCCTGGATTACTTCGAAAGGAAACGCAAGAAGGATGCTCGGGAGGTCCACAAGCGTGCGGCCTACGCGCAGAAGGTGGGCGCCCTCTACATTTTTTTTTCTTTGCTGGTTGATCCTTACCTCTCTGATTTCAGGCGATCGGTCTCAAGGGCAAGATGTTCGCGAACAAGCGATACAAGGAGAAGGCGTTGTTGAAGAAAACGTATGCTCTTTCTTTTCTCGCAGCTTCTTTGTTAATTCTTTCTCTCTTTTTCTTTGCAGGCTTGCTATGCACTCCGAGAAAGCAAACAGGCACAAGGTTGAGGATGATGTCCAGGAAGGTGCCATTCCTGCGTACTTGCTCGATCGTGAGGCGACTACTCGTGCTAAGGTGAGCAGGACATTTCTCTTTTTTTCCCCAAAACTCATTCTTTGTTTGCCTTAAAGGTTCTGAGCAACAGTATCAAGCAAAAGCGTAAGGAAAAAGCAGGAAAATGGCAAGTTCCGCTTCCAAAGGTAATCGCAACCATGCCTTCGATCTCATCATACATGTCTTGTTCCAGGTCCGACCCATTGCGGAAGACGAAATGTTCCGAGTTATGCGATCTGGCAAAAGAAAGAGTACTGTTTTCTTTGTCTTTCACTTTTTACCGGATGGTTTCTCATTGTTTTCTTCGCGTCTTGGTGCTCCAGCTAAACAGTGGAAGCGAATGGTTACTAAAGCCACATTTGTTGGAGCCGGTTTCACGAGGAAACCACCAAAGTACGAGAGGTTTATCAGACCCATGGGGTTGAGGTTCACCAAGGCACACGTTTCACATCCGGAGCTCAAGTGTACATTCCAGCTTGAAATCCTTGGTGTGAAGAAAAACCCGAACGGCCCCATGTACACGTCCCTGGGTGTGATAACTAGGGGAACGATCATCGAGGTAAGTTGATGGGTTTTGTTTCCTAAGCTTTTTTATATCATTCGAAATGTTTTCCAGGTAAATGTTAGCGAGCTCGGACTCGTAACTCCTGCTGGAAAAGTTGTATGGGGTAAGATTTTGGCGATACGATTGAAAACGTTTTGCTAACTTTACTCATCTTGCCTCTCAGGGAAGTTTGCTCAAGTGACAAACAATCCGGAAAACGATGGCTGCATCAATGCAGTCTTACTTGTGTAACAACAAAGACTCCGTGAGCAAAATTTTGTGGCAAGTAAATCTAAAATCTATCATTTGTACCTCTCAGAATTTTGTTTCTCCTTCTCAAAAGATGCTATCGGTGCTTCTTCCGGAAAGCAAGAGATTGAAGAGTGTATCGGTCGAACGGTTTGTGGGCGTAGAGCTGCTCGCTTGCTCCGTCGGTGATGGATCGGTCACTTTTGCCACTGAAACGTATGCCACCTTTTTCGACTTGATCGCGCTTGCGTCTGGTGTGTCCAAGAACTTTAGAAACTCGGCTGCGGCTTGAGAGGGAGCTTGTGGATTCGTCGCAACGTCAGCTCCGCTGGCTAGAACTTCAGAAGAAGAAGAAATCCTCGCAGCTTGACGCAGACCTTTTAGAATGAGCGAAAGAATGAAAGCATTCTAGTAGAAGATGGAGAACTCACCACGCACTTCCTTGCTTGGGCGATCTTCTACAAACCAATTAGCTTCAGTGTTGGCTTTCGCTTCCACTAGATTGTATTGGGCTCTTTCGGCATCCCATTTGCACTCCAGGGAGGCCGGGAGCTCTCGCTAGAAAATGGAGAACGCGTTATCAATTCAATCCGAGTCTAGATCATATGCTACGTACTTGGAGCTTGTTGAAAGTCACGAGAGAGTTGCCAGTACGAAGCTCGGCTGCTAAGAGGTTGTAAAGCGAAACGCAATCGAGCAAAAGCTACAAAGAAGATGAGCAGGAGTTTTGATTTTGCTTGTGACATGAGGAAGTTCTACCTGGAAGGAGAGAACTCGAATTCTTGCCAGGATCGACAAAACCGTCAGTGTGTAAGACATGAAACGTCCCTGCTCTAGCAATCCGGCCATTTGCCTGGTGAAGAAAAGATGGCGTTGAAAGAAAAAGCATTGCGGCAGTGAGAGTCACGGAACTTACTTGCTCGCACCGAGGATGGGCGCATTTAGCTGAAGATGAAGAACCCATTTTCAGAGATTCTTAAGTTTCTTGCCAAAGAAGTACCTCGTGTAGGATCCTCGAGACTCCCCAGAGAATGTTTAAAACAGCTTCTTTCGGCTCGGAAGCTACATTTTTGTTCCTTCTGCTTGTAAAGAACAAGTAAAATAGATCAAAGAAGGGATTCCAGATCGCTACCTGCGTTTCGCAGCAGGCTCGAGATGGAAATCGAGTGCCGAGAGGAAGGTGTCGGAGGCAGCAACGCGAAGCAATTTGAGGCTCCTTCGTGCCTGGAAGAATGAAGAGTGAAATATACAAACACCATGGCTGTGGATGATATACCTGGTGGAGCTTTCGGAAGTGGAGTGTGCCGCGATGCTGGCTCTTGCTCCTGTAGATGAGGCGCTCCAAGAGGGCGTCCTCCCTTTGCAGCGAAGATATGTGCTGCCTCACATCACTTACCATTCTCTTTAAACCCTAAAGTTTATTAGTAAAAAATATAAGGTTAATTATATGTTTATTAAAGATACGATCATAGAAAAGCCATGCCATTAAAAAATTATTATTATTATCTAAGTTTAATTTTTAGTTCGCTTAAACAGACCTATAAAGGGACTAAAATGATAGTGAATATATTTAAAATATACTTTGTGAGGTCCAAGTGTACAGTTACAATGCGGTATATTAATATTAACATAATAGAATTTTAGTATTTGTTGAATTAGTTTTAATTCGGACCATTCACTCATTGTATATAAGCTAGGGTTTTTGGGCTAATTGATATCTTTTTATATTCCATACACTGTCCATGAGAGTGCTTGGATTTGGGATTTTGGTTTAAATCTAGTTTTTTCCATTTCCTTTTTTTTGTTTTTTCCTTTCAAGATTTTGATTAAAGTTAGCTTTTTGCATTGTCTAGATCTTTTTTTCCTTTTAGCTTTTATTCATTTCTCTTCTTTTGCTCTTTCCATCTCATTCATCTTCATAGTAAAGCAATAATCTCTTCCTCTTTTGACTTTGGAATAATAGTTAGTACAATTGTTTGATGCTATATGATTGCAATTGAACAACTAAGCTCAGTTGATGGTGGCATTCATGACACGTGGTATAGCTCCTTCTACTCTTGGTGCCAATCCTCACATTCAGTT